ACTTGAGGTCAGGAGTTCGAGACCAGCCTGGCCAACATGGTGAAACCTCATCTCTACCAAAAATAGAAAAATTAGCCGAGCATGGTGGCAGGTGCCTGTAGTCCCATCTACTCAGGAGGCTGAGGCAGGAGACTCGCTTGAACCTGGGAGGCGGAGGTTGCGGCGAACTGAGACTGAGCCACTGTGCTCCAGCCTGGGTGACAGAGTGAGACTCTATCTCAAAAAAACAAAAGTGTGATGTATTAGGTGTCCGTGGTGTGAAGGGCTGCTCACATGTCCATGACTGGGGGACAGGGTAGTTACATAACCATGATACAGCCTGATGAGGGAACAGAGCTTTTTAAAGACATGGGAACATGTTTATGTTTTAAGGTTAAGTGTGTAAATTTATAGAAGGAACAGCGAGATATGAAATTAATAAGCTTGGGGGGAAATCTGGAAGAAATGTATCATCATAAAAATGAACAGCCATCTGGGTTGTTAGAGTTCTGTCTTTTCCAAACTTCGACCATGGGCATACATTTGCATTCCTCTTTAGGGCGTGTGTGTGTGTTAGAGACGGGGTCTCGCTCTGTCTCCCAGGCTGAAGTGAGGTGATATAGCTCACTGCGGCCTCAAACTCCTGGGCTCAAGTGACCCTCCTGCCTCAGCCTCCCGAGCAGCTGGGACTACAGGCATGCACCACCACCCACCACCATGCCCAGATAATTAAAAAAACATATATTTTTTTGTAGAGATGGGGTCTTGCTACAGTGCCCAGGCTGATCTCCAACTCCTGGCTTCAAGTGATCCTCCTGCATCGGCCTACCAAAGCACTGAGATTGCAGGCATCAGCCACCATGCCGGGTCCCCTTTAGGTTTTTATGACCTACGAGAACGTTCTGCGGACGGAATATTATGGCAGCCACCAGGGTGGAGGGTCTCTCCTGCCTTAGCCCACACCACAGCCCCATTTTGCTGTCCTGGGTTTCCTTTTTCCTTTTGTTTTGAGACAGAGTTGTGCTCTGTGGCCCAGGCTGGAGTGCAGTGGCACGATCTCGGCTCACTGCAACCTCCACCTCCCAGGTTCAAGGGATTGTCCCGCCTCAGTCTCTGGAGCATCTGGGATCACAGGCATGCGCCACCACGCCCGGCTAATTTTTGTATTTTTAGTAGAGACAGGGTTTTACCATGTTGCCCAGGCTGGTCTCGAACTCCTGACCTCAAGTGACCCACCCATCTTGGCCTCCCAAAGTGTTTGGGATTACAAGTGTGAGCCACCACGCTCGGCTGAGTCTCCCTAATTTAACCCAGTGCTGCCGCATGCAGGGGCGTGGCCTGGCTGGGCAGTACAGAGCTACCCATGGTGCTCAGCCTCCAGGGTCGAGCGTGGGTTTTCTCAGCCTCTTGCAGACAGGGCTGGAGTTCCTTCTGGTACAAGTTTGGGGACCCGGCCCCCACATCCCTTGAAACCCTAGACCCGCCCACCAGATCCTCTCCAGTTAAGCCTGGTGCCTCCCAGCACCTCTGGCTCCCAGAAATCCCCGGCCCACAGCTCCCTTGACCTGAGACCTGAAATTCATCTACTGCCCTCTGCAGCTTGCGCCAAGTCCAAGTCTGCCTTCCTCTCCAGCCAGATGCCTGCCTGCCACTCAGCATGTCAGAGCAGGCAGAGCCTCTAGATACTAGGGTGGAAACTGAGGCACTGAGAGCAGATGTGATGTCCCCAGTTGGGAAAACATCAAAGACATTCTGGGCTTCTCTCTCTCTCTCCCTATTTTTGAGATGGAGTTTCGCTCTTGTTACCCAGGCTGGAGTGCAGTGGCGCGATCTCAGCTCACTGCAGCCTCCAACTCCCGGGTTCAAGCGATTCTCTTGCCTCAGCCTCCCTGGTAGTTGGGATTACAGGCATGTGCCACCACACCTGGCTAATTTTTAATTTTTTTGCAGAGACGGGGTTTTGTTATGTTGCCAAGGCTGGCTTCAAACTCTTGGCCTCAAGTGATCCTCCTACCTTGGCCTCCCAAAGTGCTGGGATTACAGGGGTGAATGACCGTTCCTGGTTTACAGCCATACTTAACAGTCTGTCCTCCTGGAAACTTCCCGAAGCCTCACCCTCTCTGGGAATCCCCTACTGGGCGCCACGGTCACCCCTCCACCGCCGGGTTTCCGCTCTCCCATCCCTGCACGAGATCCCACTGTCAGGCCTTCTTCCAGCATGGACCTTCTCATGCTCAGTCTCTCTGTGGTGTGGAAGTGGCTACTGGGGGTGCCTCACAGATGGTACAAGCCCAAGGGAAACAACGATCCGAAATGGACTCAGATAAAGTTTCTGCCACTATGCGTTGGGGGCTTTTGGCAGGAATCCCGTTCAATTTTAGAAAAATAAAAATATATGTCTCGCACTTCTGAGTTTGCAGACTAAGGTCCATTCTGTATGTGCAGAAGAGGACAAAAGAGAAAGGAAGGCAGCCAGGCGCGGTGGCTCATGCCTGTAATCCCAGCACCCTGAGAGGTCAAGTGGGGTGGATCACTTGAGGCTGGCCAAGAGTTCGAGACCAGTCTGGCCAACATGGTAAAACCTCATCTCTATTAAAAATAAAAAAATTTGCCAGATGCTGTGACACACACCTGTAATCCCAGCTACTTGGGAGGCTGAGGCAGGAGAATCGCTTGAACCCGGGAGGCGGAGGTTGCAGTGAGCTGAGATCGCGCCATTGCACTCCAGCCTGGGCAATAAGAGTGAAACTCTCTCTCAAAAAAAAAAAAAAAAAAAAAGACAAAAGGGGCACTTGGGGGAAAACAGTCCTCCCAGCTCACCTAGCACAGCCCATCTTTTTCCTTACTCAGACCACCTGGTGAGGCAGGTGTGCCTGTCCATCTTAGTGGTAAGAAAGTGAAGGCTCAGATTCCCACGGCTAGTCAGGCAGGTACAGGAACTTGAACAAGACGGCACTTTCCCACGGCCCGCATGCTGCCTGGGACCCTGATTCCTGGGCACTATCCCCAGCCACCCGCCTCTCTGCAGACTATCTGCCACCCCTCCACATGCGCTGGGACAGCTGCCTCCGGATGAAGGGGCCTGCTAACACCTCTGCCTCCCCCAGCAGACCTGACCTTCCGCTCGGATTCATCTAGGAATTCATGCCAGGCTTCGGGGACTGTGCAAGGGGGGGTTTGAGAAAAGCCCATTATGGCGCAGGAGGAGCACTCGGTGACCTCTGGTGAACCCTTGGAGACTCCCGGGAGCCTGGACAGGTTCCCAGCCCAGTATGACTAGCGGCATGAGTAAGTGTGGAGCTGGTTCTCCAGGCGGATACCTGGCTTAGGTGCCAATGCCTGGAAGGGGGCTGGCACGTCCATCCCTGAGGGCTGGGGCCAGGGCCACCTGATACCCTGGGACGCAGAGTATTCATACATCACTCACATCGAGCCTCAGTTTCCCCCTCTGTAAGGCGGCCTCTAGCGCCTACCTCCTAGGTGCCAGGACTAAATGAGACACCTCTGTCTGCACTCTGCTGTGACCCTAGTTCCTAGAACCACCAGGCCCCAGCAGGACCTGCGAATCCATGTGAAAGGCACCCGCATAAAGCACCCATTGCAGGGTCAGAAACCCAGTGACCTCTCAGCAGGGTGTTCAGCGGAGCTACACTCACCGCATTTTCCTGCTGCAGCTTCCACTGTCTCCACCTTTCCAGCATCATCTGACCATTCTGTACGTCTCAGAGCTCCGGAAGCACACCTCTGGCATCCAGGGACCCCCAAACTCCGCCGTTCACCCCCACAAACACAACCCACTCTCCTGTCTGCCTCTCAAAGTCCCATCTTCCCCTAAGGCCCAAACAGGGCTTTCCTTACTCCAGGAAACCCTCCTCAACCCCCTCACCCTCCTGATCCCACTTTTCGGGGTCCCCATGGCCTGCTGGCAGCTGCCACATCACTGTACCCTAAGTCCTTTTTTTTTTTTTTTTGAGATGGAGTCTTGCTCTGTTGCCCAGGCTGGAGTGCAGTGGTGTGATCTTCGCTCACTGCAACTTCCGACTCCTGGGTTCAAGCGATTCTCCTGCCTCAGCCTCCTGAGTAGCAGGGACTAGAGGCACCCACCACACCCGGCTAATTTTTGTATTTTTAGTAGAGACGGGGTTTCAACATGTGGTCAAGCTGGTCTTAAACTCCTGGCCTCAAGTGATCCTCCTGCCTCAGCCTCCCAAAGTGTTGGGATTACAGGTGTTTGCCACCACGCCTGGCCCGCCCCACATGGCATGTCACCCCACAGGGACAGCCCCTGCAAATCTGGGTTTGGGAGGTTAGGATGCAGCCCATGGTGGAGATGGAGGTGGGATGGGAGCCTTAAAAAGGGTCAGGAGGTTGGGTGCAGTGGCTCACACCTGTAATTCCAGCACTTTCGGAGGCCAGGCAGGAGGATCACTTGAGGTCAGGAGTTCAAGACCATCCTGGCCAACATGGTGAAACCCTGTCTCTACTGAAACTACAAAAAATAGCCAGGTGTGGTGGCACGTGCCTGTAGTCCCAGCTACTCGGGAGGGTGAGGCAGGAGAATCGCTTGAACCTGGGAGGCGGAGGTTTCCTGGGTCGTGATCATGCCTCTGTACTCCAGCCTGGGTGACACAGGACTCTGCCTACAAAAAAAAAAAAAAAAAAAGGCCGGGTGTGGTGGCTCCCAAGGTCAGGAGTTCAAGACCAGGCTGGCCAACATAGTGAAACCCTATATGTACTAAAAATACAAAAATTAGTTGGGTGTGGTGGCAGGTGACTGTAATCCCAGCTGCTTGGGAGGCTGAGGCAGAGAACTGCTTGAACCTGGGAGGCAGAGGTTGCAGTGAGCCGAGATGGAGCCACTGCACTACTCCAGCCTGGGTGACAGAGTGAGACTCCGTCTCAAAGAAGAAAAAAAAAGAAAGGCAGGGGTGTGGCGTCTGTTCCCAGATTCCAGAACATGTGTCCCAGCACCATGACCGGGCCCTATTCCCAACGCTCCCTCCACAGCCAGTGCCTCTTACCAGGCTTTGGGATGAGTCCTTGGAAAGGCCTAGAAGAGAAACAGAGGCAGGGGTGTTAGGGGGAGGGCCTGGGGGATGAGGAAGACACCCCTGGGATGCAGTGGCCTCGGTCTCCCCTGGGAGCACCCCAGACCTCCAGCAGCAGCATCTGCATTTTAACAAGCTGCCCGGGGGCTCTGTGTGCAAGGGACACTGAGACAATGTGGCAGGAGCGCTGGTATTGGCAGTGGGACTCTGCAAAACGCAGACCTGGGCCTTGTGTGGGCTGTGCCCTGGCTGGCCCTGGGACCTTGGGCGAATCCCTCTGATGGGGACTGAATGCCTTTCCCAGGGGCGGGGGTGCAGTGAGCGGGTGTTGCTCATTAGGGTGAAGATGGCCTCGAAGGCTGCCCTTTCCGTGGTGACTGACCAGTCCCACTTCTGCAGGGCTCCCTGCACCTGGGCTGGCCTGCAGTCCCTTTCCGACCACCCCAGGACCTAGGATGGCGCCGGGAGAGCCGCCTTGTCCAGCAGGTCCTAGGGAAAGGCTAAGATTTGCAGGTACAAGGCCCCATCTGGGCCGGTCCTGCCTCTTCTTCACCCTCACCCTTCCCCCTGAGCACCTGGTGACTGTGAACTTGATCTTGTCGGCCACGGCAAGAATCCTCTCCAGGTTCTGGGAGCCGAAGGTGCAGGGCTTTCGGAACGGGATTCCTGGGGGCAGCCCCTCAATGATCACAGAGCCAGGGTTACTCTTGATCCGCTTGTAGGGCACCTGGACCGGGTACTTGATGCCCAAAGCTTCCCCTGTGGGCGAGAGGAGGGGTCGGGCCCGTCAGGAGCGAGAGGCAGCACGGGGCGTGTGTGCGTGGGATTGCAGGAGAGTGAACGGCACGACAAAGTGCTCACGTAGCGCCGTGGAAACGTATAGGCATTACAATCTGAGCTATCCAATCAGAAAATAAAAAATAGGCCAGCATGGTGGCTCATGCCTGTAATCCCAGCGTTTTGGGAGGCCAAGGCAGGAGGATCACTTGAGTCTAAGAGTTCGAGATCAGCCTGGGAAACACCGCAAGACCTAAACATTTCTAAACGATAGCTGGGCATGGTGGTGCATGCCGTAGTTCCAGCCACTTGGGAGGCTGAGAAGGGAGGACTGCTTGAGCCCAGGAGTTTGAGGCTTTAGTGAACCACGATCACGCCACTGCACTCCAGCATGCATGACACAGTGAGTTCCTGTCTCAAAAAAAAGAAAAGAGAAGAAAGAAAAAGCCACACCAACATGCTCACATGTCCTATGCTCCTCTTTTTTTTTTTGAGACGGAGTTTCCCTCTTGTTACCCAGGCTGGAGTGCAGTGGCGCGATCTCAGCTCCCCGCAACCTTCGCCTCCTGGGTTCAAGAGATTCTCCTGCCTCAGCCTCCCGAGTTGCTGGGATTACAGGTGTGCCCCACCACGCCCAGCTAATTTTTTGTAGTTTTAGTAGAGACGGGGTTTCACCATGTTGGCCAGGTTGGTCTTGAACTCCTGACCTCACGATCCGCCCACCCCAGCCTCCCAAAGTGCTGAGATTATAGGCATGAGTCACCACACCCAACCTTTTTTTTTGGGGTGGTGGGGCGACAGAGTTTCGCTTTTGTTGCTCAGGCTGGAGTGCAATGGTGCGATCTTGGCTCACTGCAACCTCCACTTCCCAGATTCAAGCGATTCTCCTGCCTCAGCCTCCTGAGTAGCTGGGACCACAGGCGTGTGCCACCACACCTGGCTAATTTCTTTTTTGTGTTTTTGATAGAGATGGGGTTTCACTATGTTGCCCAGGCTGGCCTCTAACTCCTGAGCTCAAGTGATCCTCCTGCCTCAGCCTCCAGAAGTGCTGGGATTACAGGCGTGAGCCACTGAGCCGGGCCCCTGTCTACTAAATCCTGTGTGTAGTTGTTGAAAGTGTGTCTCACCTCATTGGTGTGCGAGGCTCATGAGCACAGGGACGATGTCTGTTTCATTCACTGCAATGTCCCGTGCCTGGCACGTAGTGAATGTTCAAGACATACGTGTAAAGGGGCGAATAGCATCCCCAGAAATGCCTTTGCTGGAACTGGGAAGCCTCCCACTTCTCTGCCCAGAGCAGCTGCGTGTTCCTCCCCCGGGGGCTCCCCGCTGCTCACCGTATTTCTTGTTGAAAAGGTCCTGGACCTGCTCCCTCAGCGTGTTGGCGATGTCGATCCGCGAGAGCCTCGCGTCGTAATTTTCTGCAAAGCACAGAACGATGACGGGTTTGGGCTGTTCAGTGAAAAGGCACTTGGTGACTTTTAAGGAATACGATTTTCTAATTATGGGGAGCTCATTCTCCGGCAATTAGCGGATCTTAGGAGTGGGCCCCTCAGGTCCTTCAGCACCGTCTTGATGGAGATGTGTTTTTTCCAGGACACACACTGTTGCCACAACAGCGATGAGCTGGAAATTAAGTTAATTGCTGACATTTGAAAACCACCAAACCAATAAATAAGCCCTGGAGCTGAGGGATGCCTGGAAGGGCGGACTGCTCTGCCCCGGGCTGGTAGGCAGGGAAAGGGGGCTTCAGGAAGTCCCAGGGAGGCTGGACACAAGGGAGGGGGCACATCCCAGCTGACCCAGCAGATGGTGGGGGATGGGCAGTCCCCACAGATACAGAGGATGGGCCTGGCAGCTCCCAATAGGCACTCACTCTCCCAGAGGGTGTTCATTAAAGACCCCCAAGTGTGGCCGGGTACTGTGGCTCACGCCTGTAATCCCAGCACTCTGGGAGGCCGAGGCGGGCAGATCACCTGAGCTCAGGAGTTGGAGACCAGCCTGGACAATGTGGTGAAACCCTGTCTCTATTAATAATACAAAAATTACCTGGGTGTGGTGGTGTGAACCTGTAATCCCAGCTACTAGGGAGGCTGAGGCAAGAGAATTGCTTGAACCTAGGAGGTGGAGGGTGTAGTGAGCTGAGATCATGCCACTGCACTCCAGCCTGGGCAACAAGAGTGAAAACTCAGTCTCAAAAAAAAAAAAGGCAAGTGCCAGCATGTACGGGGGGATCCCAGACCACCATGGGCCCCTGACCTCAGGGCAGGAAGGAGGGGAGTAGGGAGTGACTCTGGGAACTTGGGCCAGGCTTATAGTGAGGGTCTCAGTCTGCTAAGGGGGCTGCATATGAAGAGCTCTGGTGAGGAGAGAGTCCTGAACTCCCCTTGTCATGGAATGTTCCAGAGTATGAGAGACCAGAGGCAGAGAGCAGCTGCCCTCTGGGACTTGGGTCCCCTTTCTCTGGGCTCCCCCACCCACAGTGACCCTTCCCACCACTGGCCCCATCAACCCCTTTCTCCTCAGGGCCATGGTGGCCACAGAGTCACCTCTGCTACTCACTGGCAGCCACACCGCAGCTCCTCAGAGCAGCCCCTACATGGGGCTCTGCAGGGCACTGCCTGTTTCCCCTCAGATGCTGGCGCCTCCCTGATGCTCCGTCCTCCTCTCGCCTTTCCTCAAGTGTCTCCCTGCTTCCATTCCTCCCCTTCCTTCCTTCCTTCTACCTCCTGCCTCCCAGCCCAGCCCAACCGCCTCTACCTGACCTCAGCGACACGCCCCTCTCCCCTCCCTTCCTCCCGCCTTCTTTTCCTCACTTTTTCCCTTCCTCCCCCCTGCCTTCTTTTCCTCACTTTTTCCCTTCCTCCCCCTGCCTTCTTTTCCTCACTTTTTCCCTTCCTCCCCCCTGCCTTCTTTTCCTCACTTTTTCCCTTCCTCCTGCCTTCTTTTCCTCACTTTTTCCCTTCCTCCCGCCTTCTTTTCCTCACTTTTTCCCTTCCTCCCCCTGCCTTCTTTTCCTCACTTTTTCCCTTCCTCCCCCTGCCTTCTTTGCCTCACTTTTTCCCTTCCTCCCCCTGCCTTCTTTGCCTCACTTTTTCCCTTCCTCCCCCTGCCTTCTTTTCCTCACTTTTTCCCTTCCTCCCCTGCCTTCTTTGCCTCACTTTTCCCTTCCTCCCCCTGCCTTCTTTTCCTCACTTTTTCCCTTCCTCCCCCTGCCTTCTTTTCCTCACTTTTTCCCTTCCTCCCCCTGCCTTCTTTTCCTCACTTTTTCCCTTCCTCCCCCCGCCTTCTTTGCCTCACTTTTTCCCTTCCTCCCCACTGCCTTCTTTGCCTCACTTTTTCCCTTCCTCCCCCTGCCTTCTTTTCCTCACTTTTTCCCTTCCTCCCCCTGCCTTCTTTTCCTCACTTTTTCCCTTCCTCCCCCTGCCTTCTTTTCCTCACTTTTTCCCTTCCTCCCCCTGCCTTCTTTTCCTCACTTTTTCCCTTCCTCCCCCTGCCTTCTTTTCCTCACTTTTTCCCTTCCTCCCCCTGCCTTCTTTTCCTCACTTTTTCCCTTCCTCCCCCTGCCTTCTTTTCCTCACTTTTTCCCTTCCTCCCCCCTGCCTTCTTTGCCTCACTTTTTCCCTTCCTCCCCCCTGCCTTCTTTTCCTCACTTTTTCCCTTCCTCCCCCTGCCTTCTTTTCCTCACTTCTCTCCTCTTTGCTTTTCTTTTCTTTTTCTTTCTTCCTTCTTCTTTCTTTCCCTCTCTCCCTCCTTTCCTTTCCCTTCTCCTCCCTTCCCTTCCCTCCCTCCCCTCTTCCCTCCCTCCCTTCCTCCCCCCACTTCTCTCCTTCCTTCCTTCTCTCTCTCTTGTTCCTTTTTTTTGAGACAGGGTCTCGCTCTGTCACCAGGCTGGAGTGCAGTGGCACAATCTCAGCTCACTATAACCTCCACCTCCTGGGTGCAAGCAATTCCCCTGACTCAGCCTCCTGAGTAGCTAGGACTACAGGTGCACACCACCTCCCCAGACTAATTCTTGTATTTTTTTGGTAGACATGGGGTTTTGCCATGTTGTCCAGGCTGGTCTTAAACTCCTGGCCTCAAGTGATCCACCCGCCTTGGCCTCCCAAAGTGCTGGGATTACAGGCGAGAGCCACTGCACACCCTCTGATTTCTTTTCTTAAAATTTTAAATATAGACACAGAGATGGGTTCTATGTTGCCCAGGCTGGTCTTGAACTCCTGGCGGAACTTCTGGCATCAAGCGATCCTCCGTCCTTGACCTCCCAAAGTGCTGGGATTACAGCCGTGAGGTGCCCCACCAGCTCCTATTCTGATTTCAAAGCACTAAGAGCACAGCTGACTGGTGAATAAGGAGTGGACATGTCAGCTATCTCTCCAGGTGGGGGGCAGGCAGTGGGCCCTGTACCCTCCCACCCCCCAACCCACCCCACCATCCACCTGTGGGTACCCACCCCATCTCCCCTGGAGTCTTTGACACAGAGCTAGCAGAGTACAGCCAGGCCTGGGCTGCCAACCTGGCTGGCCTGGTCCCTCAGGCCCTGAAGTTGGGGGCCAGCTCCTCCTCACTTCCAACCTGGCCCTCCAAAGCCAAACCAGGTCAAGATCATGGCGCTGGGACAGCAGCCCTCCCCCGAGCTCAACCTTACCTTGAAAGCCCTGTCTCTTCAGGCTGTCGTCCACGAGAGGGTCCCCGGAGTCCCTCTCTGGAGGCAGGGCAGGGGGAGAGAAGCCAAGTGAGGTGGCAGTTCCTGGGACCCAAGATGGCATCGTTAGGGGAAACCCAGTTGTGGGGGGTGTGGAGAGAATGCCAGGGCCAGGATGGGGCCAGGACAGAGGCAGCAGGAGGAGGGGCTGGTGGCAGAGGCCTGGGACCCTCCCATGCCCGCCCATGCCGCAGCCCGAGGCCCCACACAGGGTACCTTGACTATCCACGATGGGCTCTTTGACTCCATCAGTGAGCAGCTCGGGCCTGGAAAACACAAGCGTGCCTATCACAGAGGTCGTGCCAAGCATCTCCGGGACTGCCCAGCCCTCCCCTCTGGCCTCGGTCTGCACATCCCTGCAACGGACTGTCCTGGCTCTGCACACTTCAGGCCTGGAGTCACTGCCACCCCACATGTGAAATCTGGGGGCTATGCTGGGTGTGAAGGATCCAGGCGGGCATGAGACCTGCCTGGTCCTGAACGGGTCCATCTGATATCTCACTCCTGCTCCGGGATGAGGCAGGACTGTCACTACGGCCCGTGGAGCTGGTGTAAAGTGTAGAAACGTGGTCAGGTGCAGCTCACGCCTGTTACCCCAGCACTGTGGGAAGCCAAGGAGGGTGGATCACTAGAGGTCAGGAGTTTGAGACCAGCCGGATCAACACAGTGAAACCCCATCTCTACTAAAAATACAAAAATTAGCTGGCGGAGATGGCAGGTGCCTGTAATCCCAGCTACTCGGGAGACTGAGGCAGGGGAATCATTTTAACCCAGAAGGTGGAGGTTGCAATGAGCTGAGATAGTGCCACTGTACTCCAGCCTGGGTGACAGAACAAGACTCTGTTGAAAAAAGGAAGGAAGGAAGGAGGGAAGGAAGGAAGGAGGGAAGGAGGGGAGGAGGGAGGGAGGAAGGGAGAGAGGGAAGGAGAAAGGGAGGGAGGGAGGGAGGGAGGGAGGGAAGGAGACAGGGAGGGAGGCAGGGAGGGAGGGAAGCAGAGAGGGAGGGAGGGAGGGAAGGAAGGAAGGAAAGGAAGGAGAAAAGAAAAGAAAAGAGTAGAAACAGTCAGGTACCACTACAGAGCAAGGACAACTCCGAGCTTCTGGAAAGGTCTGAGATTTACAGCTCACGCCTGAGAGGTGCTGTGTCACTTTGCAGCCTGGAGCCGTCAGTGACCAAGCTCAGCTTTGTACTGTACTAATGTCTTTAGCTCCACAGACTCCAGAAAGCCCTGCCCAGACAGGAGTTGGCTGTCTTTATCATACAGCACTGCTTCTAAAGACCCCACCTTCAGCACAACGAGTTTTGTTAGAGCAAGGCTGTTGCGGGGCTGGGGTTTGTGGTGGGTAGAGGCACTGGGAAAATCACGCTGGCTAGATGGGGCAGTCGAGGGATGGCAGGGTGGGCCATGGAACAGAGAGGTAATGGGCCTGGAGAGGTAATGAGCTCTCTGTCACAGGGGTAATCTAGCAGCAGCACCGAGGAGTCCCTGCCTGGGAGTGAGCCCAAAGGCCAAACTCTTAGGGCACCCTATGGGTCCCCAGTAGATGAGGATTTGGTGCCCACTCTGGTGGCGGGTATCTTTGTTTTCCCCCAAGACAGAGTCTTGCTTTGTCCCCTAGGCTGGAGTACAGTGACGCGATTTTGGCTCGCTGCAACCTCCGCCTCCCAGGTACAAGCAATTCTCCTGCCTCAGCCTCCCGAGTAGGTGGGACTACAGGCATGCGCCACCACACCTGGCTGATTTTGTATTTTTAGAAGAGACGAGGTTTCACCATTTGGCCAGGCTGGTCTTGAACTCCTGACCTCCAGTGATCCGCCCACCTTGGTCTCCCAAAGTGCTGGGATTACAAGTATAAGCCACCGTGCCCGGCCCGTGGTGGGCATCTCAGGCTTCAGCACAGTGCCAGGCACAGAGCTGGGCTCACGGGGCCACGGCTGGGAGGGGGAAGCATAGCCCTGCCTTGAACCACAGTTTCAGGAGCTAGAAAAGGTTTCAGACTGCATTTGGTCACTTCCTCTTTATGGGAGAACTCAGGTTCTGACAGGGGAAGGGACTTCAGAGCAGTAACCCTAGAGAGGCAGAAGCTGGGCAGAGTGCCTGAGTCCCAGGCCAGAGGAGCAATGGCGCTTCCCCTTAAATAGCACAGACAGCTGCCAGGGCCACAGGAGGAGCTGGCCTCAAACCTGCAGAGGGCCTCTCCCATCGGCCACTGCTCTGACCTGCCTCCCTTTCCTGTCAGGTGGAGAAAGCCATTGTGACTTTCATAAAAAATGCTCAAGGCTGGGCGTGGTGGCTCACACCTGTAATCCCAGCACTTTGGGAGGCTAAGGCAGGAGGATACCTTTCAGCCCAGGAGTTCAAGACCAGCCTGGACAACATAGTGAGACCCCTTCTCTACAAAAAATGTAAAAATTAGCCAGGTGTGGTAGCGTGCCCCTGCAGTCCCAGCTACTCAGGAGGCGGAGGCAGGATTGCCTGAGCCCAGGAGTTTAAGGCGGCAGTGAGTTATGATTGTGCCGGTGCACTTCAGCCTGGGTGACAGAAAGACCTGTCTCTTAAAAGAAATGCTTGTGGCCAGGCACGGTGGCTCACGCCTGTAATCCCAGCACTTTGGGAGGCCCAGGTGGGTGGATCACCTGAGGTCAGGAGTTCGAGACCAGCCTGGCCAATATGCTGAAACCCCATCTCTACTATAAATTTAAAAATTAGCCAGGCATGCTGGCACGTGCCTATAATCCCAGCTACTTGGGAGGCTGAGGCAGGGGAATCGCTTGAACCCGGGAGGCGGAGGTTGCAGTGAGCCGAGATCACACCAGTGCACTCCAGCCTGGGCAACAGAGTGAGACTCTGTCTCAAAAAATAGAACCCCCCACCAAAAAAAATAAGCAACAACAACAAAAAAACAGTGCTCATGAGCACAGGCTGTCTTTGCACAAAACCCTAAAAAAATGTCATTCATGAGGATTTGCTGTTGAAATGGCACCGAACCTCAAGCTGCCTGGGTGCCCCTGGCTTACGGTTTGAAGGAGTGGGCATAGAAAGCAGCCCCCATGGCTAGGCGCAGTGGCTCATGCTTGTAATCCCAGCACTTTGGGAGGCTGAAGTGGGCAGATCACAAGGTAAGGAGTTCGAGACCAGCCTGTTCAATATGATGAAACCCCGTTTCTACTAAAAACACACAAATTAGCCAGGTATGGTGGCACACACCTGTAGTCCCAGCTATTCGGGAGGCTGAGGCAGGAGAATCACTTGAACCCAGGAAGTGGAAGTTGCAGTGAGCTGAGATCCTGCCACTGCACTCCAGCCTGGGGGACAGAGTGAGACTCTGTCTCATTAAAAAAAAGAAAAGAAAGCAGCCCCCGTGTCTGATGTTCCTCCTGAATACAGGCTGCTCCGTGTCCAGTCCCCCCCGGGAACCCTCCTCTGCGTCCTGGGTCTGCAAATCCCATTATCCACCTGCCATCCACTGTGGAACGTTCCAGAGCCATTCAGAACCCTCCTCTCGGATCCCATTTCCAATAATCAGCAAGTTCTGTCAGCCCAATGTTCGCTTCTTTTTCTTCTGAGATGGAGTCTCACTCTGTCGCACAGGCTGCAGTGCAGTGGCGCAATCTCGGCTCACTGCAACCTCCACCTCCCAGGCTCAAGCGATCCTCTCACCCCAGCCTCTCGAGTACTTGGGACTACAGGTGCATGCCATCACGCCCAGCTAATTTTTGTCTTTTCCTTTTTTGTAGAGGTAGGGTCTCACCATGTTGCCCAGGCTGGTCTCAAACTCCTGAGCTCAAGTGGCCCACCCACCTCAGTCTCCCAAAGTGCTGGGATCACAGGCATGAGCCATTGCGCCTGGCTGGTAAGGCCCCATCTCTGCACAATAATAAAAACATTAGGCAGGCATGGCGGTGCACGCCTGTAGTCCCGGCTGCTTGGGAGGCTGAGACTGGAGGATTACTTGAGCCCAGGAGTCGCAGGCTGCTGTGAGCTGTGACCACGCCACTCCACTGCAGCCTGGGCTACAGAATGACACTGTCTCGAAGAATTTTTTTTTAAATAAAATGCAAACTCTTTAAGCTGGCCCAAAACCCCACACGATCTGGCCCCTGCTACCTTTTTCTTTTTCTTTTTTTTGTTATTGTTTTTTGCTTTGGTTTTTCTTTTCTTTTTTTTTTTTTTTTTGAGACAGAGTTTTGCTCTTGTCGCCCAGGCTGGAGTACAGTGGCATGATCTGGGCTCACTGCAACCTCCACCTCCTGGGTTCAAGGGATTCTCCTGCCTCAGTCTCCTGAACAGCTGGGATTATAGGCACCTGCCACCATGCCTGGCTAATTTTCATATTTTTAGAAGAGATGGGGTTTCACCATGCTGGCCAGGCTGGTCTCAAACTCCTGACCTCAGGTGATCCACCTGCCTCGACCTCCCAAAGTGCTGGGATTACAGGCATGAAGCACCACTCCTGGCCTATTTTTCTTTTTTATAGAGATACGGTCTCACTACGTTGCCTAGTCTGGGCTTAAACCCCTGAGCTCAAGTAATCCTCCTGCCTCGGCCTAACAAAGTGGTAGGATTACAGGTGTGGGCCAGCAAGCATGGTCCCCCGCTACTGGGCCGCGACTTCATCATGCTTCCCTCACTCACCCTGCACCAGCTACGATGGCACGGTGTGAGCCTTCAAACACACAGGCACGTTCTTGCCGCCGAGACTTTTTCTCTGCCCCCACACTTTTTTTTTTGAGATGGAGTTTTGTTCTTGTCACCCAGGTAGGAGCACAGTGGCGCAATCTCAGCTCACTGCAACCTCCGTCTCCCGGGTTCAAGTGATTCTCCTGCCTCAGCCTCCCGAGTAGCTGGGATTACAGGCACACGCCACCATGCCCAGCTAATTTTTTGTATTTTTAGTAGAGATGGGGTTTCACCATGTTGGCCGGGCTAGTCTCAAACTCCTGACCTTGTGATCCCCCGCCTTGGCCTACCAAAGTTCTGAGATTACACGTGTCAGTCACCATGCCCGGCCAGAATGTTTTTTTTTTTTTTTTAATTTATTTTTGAGACAGGGTCTCACACTGTCACCTAGATTGGAGTGCAGTGGTGCGATCCTGGCTCACTGCAGCCTGGGCCTCCATCTCGGCCTCCCGAATGGCTGAGACTAAAGGTGCACACCACCACCCCTGACTCATTTTTTTTCTTTCCCTAGAGACAGGGTTTCACCATGTTGCCCAGGCTGGGAATATGTGGAAGGAGGCTCTCCTTCCACAAACACAGTACTGTACACATATATAGTAGAGCCAATTACTGTACTATAATTACACATATTCTCTTGTTGAGTCTTTATCTCCCTGTGTTTTCACACGTCTCATGGGCTATATGTCTATCTCGAGTTTATCCTTAAATCGCCTGAGATACGATCTTCCTTTTTTTTTATTTTTTTGAGACAGAGTCTCACTCCGTCCCCCGGGTTGAAATGCAGTGGTGCAATCTTGACTCACTGCAACCTCCACTTCCCAGGTTCAAGCGATTCTCCTGCCTCCGCCTCTTGAGTAGCTGGGATTACAGGTGTATGCTACCACGCCTGGCTGATTTGTTTTTGAGACGGAGTCTCGCTCTGTAGCCCAGGCTGGAGTGCAGTGACACCATCTCGACTCACTGCAACCTCCGCCTCCCGGGTTCAAGCAATTATCTGCCTCAGCCTCCTGAGTAGCTGGGATTACAGGCACCCACTACCATGCCCAGCTAACTTTTGTATTTTTAGTAGAGACAGGGTTACACCATCTTGGCCAGGCTGGTCTCAATCTCTTGACCTCATAATTCACCCTCCTCTCCCTCCCAAAGTGCTGGGATTACACGTGTCAGCCACTGCAGCCAGCCTTTTTTTTTGAGACAGAGTCTTGCTCTGTCGCCCAGGTTGGAGTGCAGAGATGTGATCTCAGCTCACTGCAACCTCCGCCTCTTGGGTTCAAGTGATTTTCATGCCTCGGTCTCCTGATAACGGAGATTGCAGCTGGGATCACAGGTGTGAGCCACCACGCCTGGCTAATTTGTGTATTTTTAGTAGAGATGGGATGTCGCCATGATGGCCGGGCTGGTCTCAAACTCCTGACCTCATGTCATCTTCCAGCCCTGGCTTCCCAACATGCCGGGATTACTGGTGTGAGCCATCGCTCCCAGCCATAAGTATATGATATTACAGTAAAACAGAAGTAAAAAACACAGAATGGAAATATGATCCTCCCATTCCCTGTTTTGTTTTATTTTATTTTTTTGAGGAAGAGTCTTGCTCTGTCCCCCAGGCTGCAGTGCAGTGGTGCAGTCATGGCTCACTGGAGCCTCCAAATCCTTCCTGGGCCTAAGTGATCCTCCCACCTCAGCCTCCTGAGTAGCTGAGACTACCGGTGTACACCACCATGCTCAGCTAATTAAAATTTTTTTTTTTGAGACAGTCTTGCTCTGTGGCCAGGCCAGAGTACAGGGGTGTGATCTTGGCTCACTGCAACCTCCGCCTCCCAGATTCAAGCGATTCTCCTGCTTCAGCCTCTCGAGTAGCTGGGACTCTAGGCACGCACCACCACGCCTGGCTAATTTTTTGTATTTTAGCAGTTGGGGTTTCACTATGTCGGCCAGGATGGTCTCGATCTCCCGACTTCGTGATTCACCTCAGCCTCCCAAAGTGCTGGGATTATAGGCTTGAGCCACCGTGCCCGGCCCAAATTCCAGACGCCCATGCTAGTCTTGAACTCAAGTGAACCTTCCACTTCAGCCTCCTGAGTAGCTGAGACTACAGGCACATGCTGCCACACCAGAATTAAAAAAAAAAATTTTTGTAGTGACACAGTCTTGCTATGTTGCCCAGGCTGGTCTTGAACTCCTGGGCTCAAGCAATCCTCCCACCTCAGCTTCCCACAGTGCTGGGATTACAGGCATGAGCCACTGCTCCTGATATCCCCCAACCACTGCCATTATCTTCTCCAAAGGGTCTTTCTATCCCAGCTGGGCACACAGGGTATATCCGTGGGCGCTGCCCTGGGCCCTCACTGGCAAAAACGCAGCATGCCCGAGGAAACAGAAAGATCCTGGAGCAGCCATGCTGGACTTTCCCATCCTGGGGCAATGGGGCATTGCCCCCAGCCCCTGGCCCAGGACACCGACAGGCCTGCCTGGAGAACCCTCGAGCTGATGGAAACTGAACACTCCTCTCCTGAGACTGTGGAACCGGTCAGCTCCAACGCTTTGGGTCCGGCAGGGCTGGGGAGCCTCCTGTTTGCCAACTGCAGCCAAAACCCATCTAACACCTTGCTGTCAAAAAAAAAAAAAAAAGAAAAGAAAGAAAAGAAAGGCCTGGTATGGTGACTCCTGTCTGTAATCCCAGCACTTTGGGAGGCTAAGGTGGGCAGATAACTTGAGTTCAGTAGTTTAAGACCAGCCTGGCCAACACGGTGAAACCCTGTCTCTGCTAAAAATATAAAAATGAGCCAGACATGGTGGTGGGTGTCTGTAGTCTCAGCTACAGAGGCTGAGGCAGGAGAGTCGCTGGAAACCAGGGGGCAGAGGTTGCAGTGAGCTGAGATTGCACCACTGTACTCCAGCCTGGGAGACAGTGAGACTCTGTTTCAAAAAAAGAAAAGAAAAGAAAAGAAAGAAAAAGAAAGAAAGAAAGAAAGACAGGAAGGAAGGAAGAAAGGGAGGGAGGGGGAATGAAGGAAGGAAGGAAGGGAGGTAGGGAGGGAGGGAGGGGGAAGGAAGGAAGAAAGGGAGGGAAGGAGAGAGGAAAGGAGGGGGAAGGAAGGGAGGGAGGGAGAGAGGAAAGGAGGGGGAAGGAAGGGAGGGAGGGAGGGGGAAGAAAAGAAATAGTGGCCGGGCACAGTGGCTCAAGCCTGTAATCATTTTGGGAAGCCAAGGCAGGAGGTGGCTTGAGTCCAAGAGTTTGAGAATGGTCTGGGCAAGGTGGCCAGACCCTATCTCTAAAAAAAAACAAACAAACAAAAAAAATTGCACACATACACACACAAAATCCCCCCAGAATTAGTCAGGCATGGCGGCACACACCTGTGGTCCCAGCTATTCGGGAGGCTGAGGCACGAGAATCGCTTGACGGCACTTTGCTGCTGCTCCTGGGCTCTGAGCAGGCCTGGTGCTGTCTCCTGCGGACCTGGCCGGGTCTTACCTCTTGATGACAAACTGGATGCTGTTGCTGGCCTCCAGAATCTTCCGGAGCTTGGCGATCCCGAAGCAGTTGGGCCTGCGGAGGGAGATGCCTTCAGGCAGCCCCACCACAAACAGCTCCTCTGGGTGCATCAGAAACTTGGAGTAGGGCACCTTGACGGGCTCCGAGATGCCAATGGCCTTGGCTGCAGAGACAGGGCTGCTGTCGGCCTCCCGGTGCCACAGGGCCAGGAGCCTCAACCCCTGTGTCCTGTGCCTGTGCGGGGGGCGGGGCAAGGCTGCCAGAGCCCTTTTGAGAGCCTGCCAGCCTTCCTGGGAGGCGGAAAAAGTAGTTCCCCAGCCACAGGAAAGGAACCTGGAGCTCAGGGGGCACGTGACTTGTCTGAGGTCACAGAGCCACTAAACAGCAGAGCTGGGGGAGAAGAACTCAAACCAGGGTACCCCAAAGCCCACGCTGGGTCCATGCCCTCACGCACAGGCAGCACAGAAGCCACCACTAATGGCCGCTGAAATTCGACATTGCTTCCCCCTAAGTCCACTGGGCCTCACCTTTCCAGTAAGACCCCTGAGTGTCCCTCCTGTCACCAGAAGCAACACCACACCTTGGAATGAGCCCGATCTCTGCCACCAAATAGTGTGGGGCCTTGGACAAGTCTCATTTCTCATCTGTAAAATGGGTCTTAGGACATGGGGATTTTGTGAGATGGGATACAAGAGGATGGGGTGGGGGGCTGGGCCACAGTGGCTCACGCCTGTAATCCCAGCACTTTGGGAGGCCAAGGCAGGTGGATCGCTTGAGGTCAGGAGTTCAAGACCAGCCTGGCCAACATGGTGAAACCCTGTCTCTAATAAATACAAAAATTACCCCGGCGTGGTGGTGTGCACCTGTAATCCCAGCTACTTGGGAGCCCGAGGCTTGAACCCAGGAGATGTAGGTTGCAGTGAGCCGTGATGGCACCACCGCACTCCAGCGTGGGCGACAGAGCAAGACTCCATCTCAAAAAAAAAAAAAAAAAAAGGCTGGGCGCGGTGGCTCACGCCTGTAATCCCAGCACTTTGGGAGGCCAAGGCTGGTGGATCACGAGGTCAAGAGATCGAGACCATCCTGGTCAACATGGTGAAACCCCATCTCTACTAAAAATACAAAAAATTAGCTGGGCATGGTGGCGCGTGCCTGTAATTCCAGCTACTCAGGAGGCTGAGGCAGGAGAACTGCCTGAACCCAGGAGGCAGAGGTTGCGGTGAGCCGTGATGGCACCACCGCACTCCAGTGTGGGTGACTGAGCAAGACTCCATCTCAAAAAAAAAAAGAGAGAGAGAATGTGGCGAAGCACCTAGCTTTGAAGTTATCTGATCATATTCTTATTATGAGTCTTCCTGAGGACCCTGGGCAAGGGTGAGGGCAGAGGGCTGGCGATATTACAGGGGAAGGAGTGGCCTCCAACCTGCGGCTGAGGGAGAGCGAAAGTGAGGGAGCCAGGGAGCCTGACTGGAAGCCCCTCTAGTGTCCCCATCCTGATGGTGGGTCCCAGCTCCTCCCATCCCTCCCTCCCTTGTCCCTGCCCAGAGAGCAGCTGGTTTGGGAATGGGCAAGGGGATGGGTCCAAAGCCCTTTCTGCTAACAGGGCAGCTGGCGGGGGGCCCGGGTGCCCGCAGACCCTGTCCCACTGCTTGCTCACCGTATCGCGTGTTGAAGAGCAGCTCCACCTGCTTCCGCAGGGGACGGATCATGTCACCATGGCTGTCTGGAAGGCAAAAGGCAGTCTGTTGAGCCTCCCTGGTGGCAGCTTCTCGGCTGATGTCCCAGCCCTGCTGGGACCAAGATTGGCCCTGGGTGGGATCTTGGAATGGGGGAAGGCTGGGGCGGTGGCGGTGGGTAACTTACGGCCTCACAAACGGCACAGGCAGACCTGACAATGCCCGGGCTCACATGCTTGTTTGTGAAATCAAATCTAGGGCACTGCCAGTCTGAGTGAAGATTTGGAAGGTTCTGTGAACTAGGAGTAACCATGGGTCTTTGTAGGTATGTGACTGAGGATACAATGTGACTGAGAACTACTGGGTGCGCTGAGCCTGCAAATTGAGCACGCTGCCACCAGGGGGCAGTGGAACTGTGTTAAGACTTCATGGTTCCCCCTGCCAGGCTGGGTTTGGGGGAGTGACAATTCTCTCCTCTGACACTCACTCATTCCAGGATACTGCAGACCCACCCTCACCTTCGCTTCCCTCTCTTTCTCTCCTACTTCCATCCTCAGCAGGGAGGGAATTCTCCTGTTCCTGAGAATGGGCGTGTCTGCTGGACACAAACCCAGTGTTGTGCTTTCAGGCCTCAATTCTACTTGCTGATAGAGGAGGCCCAGCTCTCGGTCTTAAAACCTTTGCGGAAAGCAGCAGCGTGTGCAATAAAAACTAGGCCTTGCAATTTCCCTTAGCAGGGCAGCTGCTCGTGCCACTGACCAGGTACCTCCTGGTCCTAGAGGACAGGTCCTTGAATCTCCTCCCACCTCGGGCAGCCCACAGGACCCCCACCCCCAAACTAGGGTGCTGGAGAGATGGGTGGAGAGAAGGCAGAGACCCAGAGGCCAAAGGGGAGGTGGAGGGCAGGGGAGGAGAGATGGGTGGGGTTGGGGGTGAAATGTGGGGGGCAGACAGGGTCTCACCCTCCACGGGCCTTTCCTCGGGCCGCGGGTCCTCACTGAGGCCTTTGTCTAAAAGAGAACAGAGGATGCTGAGAAGCCACGTATATCATCCTCTAAGCCATGTGCTGCTGATGTCAGACAAGATAGCTTGGAAATGGCAGGCCAGGGGGGCCAGCTCTGGAGCACAGCACCTATTCCCATGGGATCAGGGACCCCGACTCCACATAGGCGCCCACCCTGTAAGCAGGCTGAGATCATTTTGCATGCACCTCCCAAGCTAGTCTGTTCTAGACGTGGGAACAAGATGAAGTCCTGGGCCGGGCACGGTGGCTCACGCCTGTCATCCCAGCACTTTGGGAGGCCGAGGCAGGCAGATCAACTGAGGTCGGGAGTTCCAGACCAGACTTGCCAACATGGTGAAACCCCATCTCTACTGAAAATATAAAAATTGGCCGGGCATGGTGGTGGGTGCCTGTAATCCCAGCTATTCGGGAGGCCGAGGCAGAATTGCCTGAACCTGGGAGGCGGAGGTTGGAGTGGGCATGCCACTGCACTCCAGCCTGGGAGACAGAGTAAAAGCCCACCTCAAAAAAAAAAAAAAAAAAAAAAAATCCAGGTGAGAAGACAGGGGACAATTTGTTCAAAATAGTCATCACATGAGTTAGCACACTGAGAAAAACATACAAAGGGCAGATGCCAGGAATGCTAGTGGTCACCCGAGGAGCATGTGACGGGAGCTTTTTCCTTCACATGTTACATACTTTTGTTTGTTTGTTTTGTTTTTCTTTTTCTTTTTTTTAAAGACGGGGTTTCTCCATGTTGGCCAGGCTGGTATTGAACTCCTGACCTCAGGTGATCCGCCCGCCTCGGCCTCCCAAATTGCTGAGATTACAGGCATGAGCCACCGAGCCTGGCTGTTTGTTTTGTTTTTAAGAGACACCGTCTTGCTCTGTTGTCCGGGCTGGAGTACAGTGGTGCAATCACAGCTCATGGCAGCCTCAACCTCTTGGGCTCAAGCAATCCTCCCATCTCAGCCTCCCAAAGTGCTAGGATTATAGACATGAGCCACTGCACCTGCTCAGTGTGCTACACAGTTCTATACCATTTAACTGCTTCTTTTTGAGATGGAGTTTCACTCCTGTCGCCTAGGCTGGAGTGCAATGGCGTGATCTCAGTTCACCTCAACCTCTGCCTCCCGGTTCAAGCGATTCTTCTAACTCAGCCTCCTGAGTAGCTGGTATTACAGGTATCTGCCACCATGCCTGGCTAATTTTGTATTTTTAGTAGAGACAAGGTTTCTCCATGTTGGTCAGGCTGGTCTTGAACTCCCAACCTCAGGTGATCTGCCCGTCTTGGCCTCCCAAAGTGCTGGGATTACAGGGGTGATCCCACCTGTAATCCCACCGCACCCAGTCCCATTTAAATGTTTCATATGATACATGTGTAAACAGAAAAAGCACATATATGCAAAACCCCCTAACGCATGGTGGTCCTAAATATCTCAGAATTTTCTTTCTTTTTTTTTTTTGTTTTTTTTTGAGACAGTCTTGCTCTGTTGCCCAGGCTGGAATGCAGTGATACAGTCTCAGCTCACTGCAACCTCTGTCTCCTGGGTTCAGGCAATTCTCCTGCCTCAGCCTCCTGAGTAGCTGGAATTACAGGTGTGCACCACCATCAGGATTTTTTTCCCCGAGACGGAGTTTTGCTCTTGTCAGCCAGGCTGGAGTGCAATGGTGTGATCTCGGCTCACTAAAACCTCCGCCTCCTGGGTTCAAGTGATTCTCCTGCCTCAGCCTTCCGAACAGCTGGAATTACAGGTGTGCACCACCATCAGAATTTTTTTCCCCCTGAGACGGAGTTTTGCTCTTGTCATCCAGCTTGGAGTGCAATGATGTGATCTTGGCTCACTACAACCTCCGCCTCCTGGGTTCAAGTGATTCTCCTGCCTCAGCCTTCCGAATAGCTGGGATTACAGGTGTGCACCACCACGCCAGCTAATTTTGTATTTTTAGTAGAGACAGTGTTTCACCATGTTGGCCAGGTTGGTCTCAAACTCGACCTCAGGGGATCCACCCACCTCAGCCTCCCGAAGTGTTGGGATTGCAGGCGTGAGCCACCACACCCGGCCATAATTTTCTTAATCCCTCAGGTTTGCCTGGGGTGCCCGGGAAGAAACCCTGCATGGGAAATCAGCAAACACGTGTTCCAGCCCAAGGCTGTGTGACCCTGGGGAGGTGAACAAGCCTTGCTGAGCCTGTGTTCTGCTGTCAAACTAACAGCAACGGTGCTGTGCTCATCAAGGCCCCCAGCCCCGGCAGTGCCACCCACTGCGGTGCCTCTGGCTGTGAGTGCTGTGCTGAGGCTTCCATGGTGTCTTCTAACGCCACTGGGAACTCAGCCGGGCACTGTGCCAATTCCTTAGCCACCACGCCATGCTGTCATCTCAGCCTGAGCTTGGCGTCAACCAAACTCTGGATAGCTACGCCACAGACTGCTGTCAAGTCCGGTCATGCCCAGTTTGTGCTGGACAAGTCATATTTTTGTCTTCATTACCAAAATACTAAAAGTGCATCATAACTGATTTAGAAAAAAAAAAAAAAAAAACCCGAAGCCTGAGCATGGTGGCTCACGCCTGTAATCCCAGCACTTTGGGAGGCCGAGGTGGACAGCTCACAAGGTCAGGAGTTTGAGACCAGCCTGGCCAACATGGTGAAACCCCATCTCTATTAAAAATACAAAAATTAGCTGGGCGAGGTGGCGTGTGCCTATAATCCCAGCTACTCAGGAGGCTGAGGCAGGAAAATCGCTTGCACCAGGGAGGCAGAGGTTGCAGTGAGCCAAGATCCCACCACTGCACTCCAACCTGGGCGACAGGGCGAGACTCAGTCTCAAAAAAAAAAAGGAAAAAAGCTGGATGAGGTGGTTTACGCCTATAATCCCAGCATTTTGGAAGGCCGAGGTGGGTGGATCATCTGAGGTCAGGAGTTCAAAACCAGCCTGGTCAACATGGTGAAACCCCTTCTCGATTAAAAATACAAAAATTGGCTGGGCATGATGGTGTGTGCCTGTAATCCCAGCTACTCGGAAGGCTGAGGCAGGAGAATCACTTGAACCTGGGAGGCGGAGGTCACAGCGAGCCCAGATTGCAGCACAGCACTCCAGCCTGGGCAACCTGAGTGAGACTCTGTCCAAAAAAAAAAAAAAGAAAGAAAAGAAAAAACACAAATCATTTTGCCTAATGCTGCTACTGTTTGCTATACCCTTGTTTCCCCCAGTGACTATGTTTCACAACTCAGTCGTAAGCAAAGCTCAATGCAGTTCTCTTCTTTTGCTCAGTTACATCCTAAGCATCCTCCTTGTGCCTATTTTGTTTGTTTTTGAGACAGAGTTTCACTCTGTTGCCCAGGCTGGTCTTGAACTCCTCCTTTGGCAGTGGCCCGATCTCGGTTGCAAACTCCACCTCCCAGGTGCAAGTGATTTTCCTGCCTCAGCGTTCCCAGTAGCTGGGACTAAAGTTGCCTGCCACCACACCCAGCTAATTTTTCTGGTGTTTGTTAGCAGAGACGGGGTTTCACCAGGTTGGCCAGGCTGATCTTGAACTCCTGACCTCGGGCAATCTGCCTGCCTCCCAAAGTGCTGGGATTCCAGGTGTGAGCCACCATGCCTGGCCTATTTTTGTTTCTCTGAGATGGTGTCTTGCGGTGGTGAGCAGACTGGAGTGCAGTGGCACCATCACAGTTCACTGCAGCCTCCAACTCCTGGGCTCAGTGGCTCCTCCTGCCTCAGCCTCCTGAGTAGATGGAACTACACGTATGTCCCACCATGCCTGTCTAATTCTTATCTATCTATTTACTTTGAGACAGAGTTTCGCTCTGTCGCCCAGGCTGGAGTGCAGTGGCACAATCTTGGCTCACTGCAACCTCTGCCTCCCGGTTTTAAGTCATCTCCTGCCAAAGCCCCCTGAGTAGCTGGGACTACAGGCATGTGACACCATGCACAGCTAATCTTTGTATTTTTAGTAGAGATGAGGTTTCATCATGCTGGCTAGGCTGGTTTTGAACTCCTAACCTCAAGTGATTTGCCTGCCTCAGCCTCCCAAAGTGCTGGGATCACAGGTGTGAGCCACCTTGCCCTGCCTATTTTACTTAGTATCCGTCTGTCTCTTCCCATGAGGATGTGCACCCAGGAGGTGGGGACTTCTTTTCGGTTCACTGCTTTCTCTCCAGCCCCTTACACAGGACCTGGTACACAATAGATGCTCAATAAATAGTTTTTGGATAAACGGACAAATTAATCCCAATAGGTGGTTCCTGGGAAGGATGCTGGTTCTTGTAAAGGGAGCCTATGGCCGGCGTGGTGGCTCACGCCTGTAATCCCAGCACTTTGGGAGGCCGAGGCGGGCGGATCACCTGAGGTCAGGAGGTTGAGACCAACCTGACCAACATGATGAAACCCCATCTCTACTAAAAATACGAAATTAGCCGGGTGTGGTGGTGGATGCCTGTAATCCCAGCTACTCGGGAGGCTGAGGCAGGAGAATCACTTAACCGAGGAGGCGGATGTTGCAGTGAGTTGAGATAGCGCCACTGCGCTCCAGCCTGGGTGACAAGAACGAAACCCCGTCCCAAATAAATAAATACCTAAAGCCCGCTCGAGGTTTCCAAACGGGACCCAGCCTCGGAGTGGGGTCATATTGGGTTTCCTCTACGAGAGGCAGCGGCCACCCCTTTCCCTTTGCTCCCTGGGGAGATAGTCCCAACCGCCAGCAGCCCAGGTCCATTTCTTACCTGCCAGCATCTCCATCCCATAACCAGAATCCTCGGACGGCAGCTGCCCAGGCATCGAGGCTGTCATTTCCTCAGAGGTGGGCGAGGGGTCTGAAGGCAAAACTCCAAATGACACGGGTGTCCTCTACCTGCCACACTCCCGTCAGTCCCTCAGGGACCACCCAGCCCACTCTGCCCACACACAAGGGTCCTTTTCTTTCTCTCTTTTTTTTAAGACAGAGTCTCACTCTGTCGCCCAGGCTAGAGTGCAGTGGTGCCATCTCAGCTCACTGCAACCTCTGCCTCCCTGGTTCAAGTGATTCTCCTGCCTCAGCTTCCCGAGTAGCTGGGATTACAGGTGCATACCACCATGCCTGGAACTACAGGTGTGAGCCACTATGTCTGGCTAATTTTTGTATTTTTAGTAGAGACGGGGTTTCACTATGTTGGCCAGGCTGGTCTTGAACTCCTGACCTCAGGTGATCCACCCACCTTAGCCTCCCAAAGTGCTGGGATTACAGGTGTGAAACACCACGCCCAGCCATTTTTTTTTTTTTTTTTGAGATAGGGTCTCACTGTTGCCCAGCCTGGAGTGCAGTGGTGCGATCACAGCTCACTGCAGCCTCCAACTCCTGGGCTCAAGTGGTCCTCCTCCTTCAGCCTCCTGAGTAGCCACACTTACAGGCACACACCACCACATCTGACTAATTTTTTATATTTTTAGTAGAGATGGGGTCTCGCTATGTTGCCCAGGCTGGTCTTGAACTCCTGGCCTCAAGCAGTCCTCCTGTGTCAGCCACACAAAATGCCGGGATTACAAGCATGAGCCACTGCGCCTGGCACCCTCTTGGCTTCTAACAGTCACCCCATACTGAGGCTCCAGCGCCCAAATCTCCCCTCTCCTCTGAAGATGTGGAAAGGGAGGCTTGGCAGAAGGTAGGGTGAAACTCAGAACCTCCCAGGCCCAGCCTCACAAATCCCAGGGAGGCCAAGCCAGGAAGGTGACGTTTGAGGGGACCTTCTGGAAGGTGAGAGCTGAGAACACGGATTCGAAACACGGGCAGATGTCACCTGAGAAAGCGTTCACAATACCCCGAAGGCTCTCAGAATCCACGGAGAGAAACGGCGGCCTGGAGGCCTCTTCTTCACCAGGGCAGACCCTCGGGAGGCCAGTGGTATGGCCCTGATTTCTGCAGGGGCTGGTCAGACGCCCGTCCCTTACCTGGGATGGTGACCTGAATGATGTCCAGATCCTCTGGCTCAATTTTGATCGGCCTCAGCCCGCCCAGCTCCCCAGAGGTTCCTGTAAAGAGGAAAGGGAGGATCTGGTCACGTCTGGCATGAGCCTGGCTGGGCAGAGGGAGTCTTTCCAGAACATTCTGGTGTCTGTAACTTGTCAGTGAGGTTCTACCTAGGACAAGTCATGTCAGCCCCTGGCTCCTGCCCAGACCAGAACTGGAGGTCAGGGGAGCCCTCAGGCTAGGCTTAGGGGCTCCTGTTTATTTAGTTATTTGAGAGAGTTTCACTCTTGTTGCCCAAGCTGGAGTGCAATGGCGGGATCTCGGCTCACTGTAACCTGTGCCTCCTGGGTTCAAGCGATTCTCCTGCCTCAGCCTCCGAAGTAGCTGGGACTACAGGCACGCGCCACCACGACAGGTTAATTTTTGTATTTTTAGTAGAGATGGGGTTTCCGTGTATTGGTCTGGTTGGTCTCGAACTCCCGACCTCAGGTGATCTGCCTGCCTCGGCCTCCCAAAGTGCTGAGATTACAGGTGTGAGCCACTGTGCCCAGCTGGGGGCTCCAATTTGCAGACCCGGTGACTGACACTCCCCAGAGGCGAGGCTGCTGGTCCAGGAGCCTGGAGCTTGGGTCTATGCATCAACAGGAAGCAATGGTGATGCCAGCACCCAGGTCTCCATGCCCTTGATCCCAGTAGGAGCTCCCAGCATGCCTTGCACCTCGGCGCTGCAAGCCTGGGAGGTGCGGGCGGGTAATTAGCACTCCAGGCTCATGGGCTGAGTTGAGCTCCTCCCTAAGGCTGCCGGGTAGGGCTGGTGGTGGCCCTCCTGGCCCATGACACCCGTGGCGTGCCCTGTTCCTTCTCACCTGGCCCGAAGTCTTCAGACATGCTGCCCTTGTCTGACCTGTGAAGGGAAGCCAGGAAATGATACCTGTCAGCCAAGTCCAGGGCCACCCTGCCCAGCCTTGCCCCTCCAGGCAGTCCCTGAAGAAGACACCCCTTCCCCATCACCCTCTGGTCCCCCAGGACAGTGCTCCCTACCCCCACCAGGAAGAGAGATCCCCTGTGCCCTGTGTCTGGGGACCACCATCTCCAGGGGTACCCGAGCCAGGAACCCGCTCACTCTTCTGAGGTGAACCATCTGGGTGTCCCCCTTCCTCACCATCTGGGAGCTCTGGGGCTCCTGAGCTTGGCATAGTGGGGGTTTGATCACTGCTTGTGGGGGATTAAGACCTGCAAGGCCTGGAAAGGGTTAAGAATCTGGGGAGGGGCCTGGGGAGCGAAGGTAGCCAGGACCCTGGGACAGATGTTTTGGTTAATTCCCTCCCTCCCTCCCAGAGAACCGCAGGGGAAGGCCTGGCATGACGTGGGGATTCTGAAATAAACAGCCCACCCCTGCCTCTAAGAGGTCAGAACGTGGTTGGAAAGTGCTGGCCAAGCTGAGCGCTGCGGCAGGGTCTGGTGGGCACTCAGGACAGGCATCGGACCTGGTGTTAGTATGTATGTGTGCATGTAGGTATACACATGTGTGCATGTATGTATACACATGTATGTGTATATGCATACATGTACTTTTTTTTTGAGATGGTCTTGTTCTGTTGCTCAGGCTGGAGTGCAATGGCACAATCTTGTCTCACTGCAACGTCTGCTTCCTGGGTTCAAGTGATTCTCCTGCCTCAACCTTGCAACTTGCTGGGACTACAGGCACCTGCCCCCATGCTCGGCTAATTAGTTTTGTATTTTTAGTAGAGGCGGGGTTTTGCCATGTTGGCCACGTTGGTTTCGAACTTCTGACCTCAGGTGATCTGCCTGCCTCAGCCTCCCAAAGTGCTGGGATTACAGGTGTGAGCCATCACACCGGCCTCATGTATGTCTTTTTGAGACAAGGTCTTACTCTGCTGCCCAGGCTGGAGTGCAGTGGTGTGATCATAGCTCACTGCAGCCTTGACCTCCCAGGCTCAAGCAATCTTCCCACCTCAGCCTCCCAACTCGCTGGGACCACAGGCACCAGCCATGACATCCAGCTTACTTTTGATTTTTTGTAGAGAAAGTCTCACTATGTTTCCCAGGCTGGTCTCAAACTCCTGGGCTCAAGAGATCCACCCACCTCGGCCTCCCAAAGTGCTGGGATTATAGGAGTGAGCCACCAAGCCTGGCCTAGTGTGGGCACGTATTTTTTTGAGACAGAGTCTCGCTCTGTCATCCAGGCTGGAGCGCAGTGGTGCAATGTCAGCTCTCTGCAACCTCTCCCTCCCGGGTTCAAGCCATTCTCTTGCCTCAGCCTCTTGAGTAGCTGAGATTATAGGTTCACACCACCACACCCAGCTAATTTTATGTTTTTACTAGAGACAGGGTTTCACCATGTTGTCCAGGCTGGTCTCAAACCCCTGGCCTCAAGAGAGTCACCCACCTTGGCTTCTCAAAGTGCTGAGAATATAGGCACGAGCCACCGTGCCCGGCCTAGTGCAGGCATTTAGAGGCTTCTGAGGGAGGTGACATCTGGCTAGATCTTGGGGGCGGGAGAGTTCTCTAGGTGACAGTTCTCTGGGCAGAAGGAAGTAGGTGGAGTCTCTGTTTCCCTAGCCCTCCCTTTGCACCTTCAAGGGCTGGTGGTGTGGTGGGAGCTGCCCTGGGTCTCTGGTCCCCCCTTGCAGGTACTACTCCCTCAGCCCAGAGCAGGGCTGGCTGCGGGCCTCCAGGGTCGGGGCCTCACCGAGCATTCCCGGCCATGTCAAGGATGCTGGCCCTAGAGACCTCTGCAGAGGTGTCCTCCGGCGGGCTGGCTGGCTCCAGCTTCGTGGTGTCTTTGGTAAACTTGTTCCCTGTGGGGAGTCAGGGAGGTCAGGGTGAAGGCCCTCTGGCCTCTTGCTGCAGGACTGCTGGGTGAAGCTCCTGGGGGAATCCCAGGGGTAGGGCCTCGCCTCTGCCCTTCCTTGTGAGCTCCACGTCCAGCCAACAGCCAGGAACGGGTCCTGGGGAGAGATGCTGCCCCCAAAAGGAGGAATGGCAGCCCTAGTGCCAGAGGGGGCCAGAGATTTGAGAGTAAAGGCAGGAGGAAGGGGAGGCAGCAACCGGAGATGCTTCGCCCGCCCTCCAGCACGCTACAGGGTTGAGCCCTCGGAAAGGGCCCGGGGTGTCCCCAAGGCTGCATCACAGGACCAGGCCCTCATTTCACTCCCGGGGTGTCCCCAAGGCTGCATCATAGGACCAGGACCTCATTTCAATATTTCATTGTGCCAGGAGCCCAGAGGAAGGTGCTCTTCGTTTTGTTTTGTTTTTTTGAGATGGAGTTTCCCTTTGTCGCCCAGGCTGGAGTGCGATGGTGCGATCTTGGCTCACCGCAACCTCTGCCTCCCGGGCTCAAGTGATTCTCCTGCCTCAGCCTCCCAAGTAGCTTGGATTACAGGTGTCCGCCACCACGCCCGGCCAATTTTTGTATTTTTAGTAGAGATGGGGGTTTCTCCATGTTGGTCAGGTTGGTCTCGAACTCCCGACCTCAGGTGATCCACCCACCTTGGCCTCCCAAAGTGCCGGGATTACAGGCATGAGCCAGTGCACCCGGCTGGAAGGTGCTCTTATCATCCCCATTTCACAGATGTGGAAACTGAAGCCCAGAAGACCTTTCCCAAAGTCACATAGCCAGTGGGAGGCAGGACCAGAACTGGGGTGCCAGATACAAAAAGATATGCAATGTTTGCTGCCCCGAGAAGAGCCTGCACCTTCCTTTTTTTTTTTGAGACAGAGTATTGCTCTGTTGCCAGGCTGGAGTGCAGTGGTGTGATCTCAGCTCACCGCAACCTCTGTCTCCTGGGTTCAAGCGATTCTCCTGCCTCAGCTTCCCAAGTAGCTGGGATTACAGGTGCCCACACCATGCCCAGCTAATCTTTTGTGTTTTAGTAGAGACGCAGTTTCACCATGTTGGCCAGGATGGTCTGGAACTCCTGACCTTGTGATCCATCTGTCTCAGCCTCCCAAAGTGCTGGGATTACAGGTGTGAGCCATTGCACCCGGCCAGAGCCCGCATCTTCCTCCTGGGACAGGTGTGCTGGCCTGTGGGCCACTGCATGGGCTCTGGAGTCGCATGGCTGGGCCTGCAGCCAGGGACCGTGCCCACCTGCCACCTTCCATTCCTCTATCTGCACGTGAGGATAGAAATGGATCTACCTTCATAGGATTGTTGGAATTCTATTAAAATAAAATATGCTGGCAGCTTCGAAGAGAGCCTGGCACAGGTTCAGGTTCACTAAGCTGGCACAGGCTGGTATCCAGCTTTAGTACTCTCTGTCTAGGGCACTTGAAGCTGGGAGGGGCTGTCCTGACAGTCTGTGAGCACCTAGCAGCCTGGGACCCATTTCTGTCCCAGGACACAGAAGCCACAGCCCAGCCGCCCTCCCTCCCTGAGGGGAGGGGCTCAGGAGGACCAAGTCCAGGATGGTGGCAGCTCAGGTTCTGTTGGGGAATCAGATGGAAACTTCAGAATGGGCTAGATGGTCCCCACGTACCTGTGAAAATTCGCTCATCAAACATCCTGGGGAGAGAGAGGAGACGGGCATGAGAATGATGTAGGCTAGAGTGCTCTCCCGGGGCTCGGGGAGCTGCCTCCAGGTCCCCTTCAGTGGAAGTCACTGAGCGACACGGGCACAGCCACAGACCTGGGCACCTGAGACACAGGCAGGCAGGAGAGGGCATGTCCGAACTCTCAGCACCTCCCAAACCATCTGTTTTTATTGTTGAGACAGTCTCACTCTGTCGCCCAGGCTGGAGTGCAGTGGCGCGATCTCGGCTCACTGCAACCTCTGCCTCCTGGGTTCAGGCGATTCTCCTGCCTCAGCCTCCCAAGTAGCTGGGATTATAGGTGCCCACCAGCACGCCCAGCTAATTTTTGTATTTTTAGGTGAGACGGGGTTTCACCATGTTGACCAGGCTGGTCTCAAACTCCCGACTTCAAGTAATCCGCCCACCTCTGCCTCCCAAAGTGCAGGGATTACAGGTGTGAGCCACTGCGTGCGCCTGGCCTCATTCTTTTTAATATTTTTGTGAAGATAGGGTCTTGCTTCGTTGCCCAGGCTGGTCTAGAACTCCTGGCTTCAAGGGATCTCCCTGCCTTGGCATCCCAAAGTGCTGGAATTATAGGCGTGAGCCACTACACACGGTCTAGATACTGGACTTTTTTTTTTTGTGACATGGTTCTCTCTCTGTCACCCAGGCTGGAGTGCAGTGGCATGATCACGGCTCACTGCATTCTTGACCTCCCTAGGCTCAGGTGATCCTCCTGCCTCACCCTCCCAAGTAGCTGGGAATGGGGGCATGCACCACCATGCCAGGCCAATTTTTGTATTTTTAGTAGAGACGGAGTTTCACCATTTTGGCCAGGCTGGTTTCGATCTCCTGACCTCAGGTAATCCACTCACCTCGACCTTCCAAAGTTCTGGGATTACAGGCGTAATCCAGGCCACCTCATCTAGCCTATTTTTTATTTTTTGAGACGGGGTGTCACTCTGTCACCCAGGCTGGAGTGCAGTGGTGCAATCTTAGCTCACTGCAGCCTCAAACTCTGGTGCTCAAGTGATCCTCCTATCTCAGCCTCCAAGTAGCTGGGACCACAGGCACCTGCCACCACGCCTGGTTAACTTTTTAAATTTTTTTTGCAGAGATGGGGTCTCACCATGTTTCCCGGGCTGGTTTCAGGCCTGTTTTATGTAAGTGAGGCACAGAGTGGTTAAGTAACTCACCCAAACACACCCAGCTAGGAAATGTCTTTAAGTACACCGATGCACGTGATGATGCTTTAATTCATGAGGGAAATGAGGTCAAGGAAAGAACCTCATGCTTATTAAACACGTGCCATGTGTCAGGTGTGCTTCTCCACTTTTTCAGTTAATGTTATGAACCCCCTGGGTGGGAGGCATCAATGTCCCTTTTCCTTATTTTTTTATTCTTTAAGAAACAGGGCCTTGCTCTGCCACTCAGGCTATGTAGGCCTGGGCCACATAGCAAGATACCATCTCTACTCAAAAAATAAATTACCAAGTGCCTGATCAGACCAGACACCGTGCCTGCATTTTCCAGTCAATCCTCAAAAGACCCAGAAGGAAGAGGCCGCACAGCCACACTAAGGAGCTATAATAGAATCCTCTCCCAGGCCTGTCCGATTATCTGTTAAGTTAGAGAACCCGTTCATTCTGCCCCTGCTCCATCATTGCCTCCCCAGGTCCCTGCTCAGCCCAGATGTCCCCAAACCCCGAGCCCAAGCCAAGCCCAGAGTGGAAGGTCAGGCCCCTACGTCCACACGCTTTATCTCTTTTTTTTTTGGGGGGGGGGTATTTTTAGTAGAGATGGGGTTTCACCATATTGGCCAGGCTGGTCTCGAACTCCTGACCTAGTGATCTGCCCGCCTCGGCCTCCCAAAGTGCTGGGATTACAGGCATGAGCCATCGCACCTGGCCTCTGTTTTATTTTTGAGATGGAGTCTCCCTCTGTCACCCAGGCTGGAGTGCAGTGGCGTGATCTTAGCTCATTGCAGCCTCTGCCTGCCGGGTTCAAGAGATTCTCCTGCCTCAGCATCCCAAGTAGCTGGGTTACAGGCACGCACCACCACACGTGGCTGATTTTTGTATCATTAGTACAGACGGGGTTTTGCCATGTTGGCCGGGCTGGTCTCGAACTCCTGGCCTCAAGCGATCCGCCCGCCCTGGCCTCCCAAAGTGCTGGGATTACAGGCGTGAGTCACCGTGCCTAGCCCCACCCGAACCTCTTAATGATGAAGTGGATGCTGTGCCGCTCCTCCAGAATCCGCTTCAGCTTGGGGACTCCATAAGTACAGGGGCGCTTGAAGGGGATCTTGTCGGGGATCCCCACGATCTCCACAGCCTCCGGGTCGCAGGCGATCTTCCGGTAGGGCACGGGGACCATGTGGTCCAGGCCCAGGGCTTCCGCTGGAAAGATAACCCAACGGCAAGGCTGAGTGTGAGACAGGCTGCAGGGTGCGCAGGACCCGGGGCTGCGGTCACCATGACTCCCACCATCCCTACTCCACTCTGGCCATGTAGTGACCATAGGGATCCTGCAGAAATGTCAAATCATGTCACTTTTTTTCTTTTTTTGAGACAGAGTCTCCCTCTGCTGCCCAGGCTGGAGTGCAGTGGTGTGATCTCAGCTCACTGCGACCTCCACCTCCCAGGTTCCAGCGATTCTCCTGCCTCTGCCTCCCAAGTAGCTGGGACTACAGGCGCCCACCACCATGCCTGGCTAATTTTTTGTATTTTTAGTAGAGACAGGGTTTCACCATGTTAGCCAGGATGGTTTCAATCTCCTGACCTTGTGATCCACTTGCCTTGGCCTCCTAAAGTGCTGGGATTATAAGTGTGAGCCACCATGCCCACCCCATGTCACTTTTATGTTAAGAAATTGGCTGGGCTGGATGCGGTGGTGTATGCCTGTAATTCCAGCACTCTGGGAAGCTGAGGTGGGCAGATGGCTTGAGCCCAGGAGTTCGAGACTAGCCTGGACAACACAGCAAGATCCCATCTCTGCAAAAAGTAAAAACTAAAAAGTTAGGCGTGGGGGTGCGCGCCAGTAGTCCCTGCTACTCTGGAGGCTGAGGGAGGAGAATCACTTAAGCCTAGAAGTTCAAAGCTGCAGTGAGCCAAGATCATGCCACTGCACCCCAGACTGGGCAGCAGAGTGCCCTGTTTCTAAAAAAATAAAATAAAGAATGTCCAGTGGCTTCCATCTCATTTGGTGACAGCCAAAGTCCTACCTATGTGACTTCATCACCTCTGACATCATCTGCCCCCTTTCATGACTCTGTGTGCCCCCCTCAACCCCTGCCACTCCCTTGGTGCTTCCCCCACCCTCACCAGGAGCATACACTCAGTTCAAGGCCTTTACACTTGTTCTTCTGTCTTCCCAGATCTTTTCCCCAGAAATCCATAAACATCCATCTGTCCATTCATCTGATCATCCATCAATCCATCTATCTGTCAGTCCATCCATCTGCCCATCTATCTATCCATCATCCATCCACCTACCCATCTGTCCATCCATCCATCCATCAATCCACCCACCCACCCACCCATCCTTCCATCCATCCATCCATTCATCCATCTGCCCATATATCCATCCATCCATCTATCCATCTATTCATCCATCTGCCCATCCATCCACCCACTCACACATCCTTCTATCCATCCTTCCACCCATCCATCCATCCACCTGTCCATCCATCCATCCATCCATCCATCCATTCATCTGCCTATCTATCTATCCATCCATCCATTCATCCATCTGCCCATCCATCTATCCATCTGCCCTTCCATCTATCTATCCATCCATCCATCCACCCACTCACCCATCCTTCCATCCATACTTCCACCCACCCACCCATCCATCCGTCCGTCCATCCATCCATCCAACCATCCATCCATCTGCCCATCCATCCATCCATCCATCCATCCATTCATCTGGCCATCCATCTATCAATCCATCCATCCATTCATTCATCTGGCCGTCCATCTATCAATCCATCCATCCATCTATCCATCCTATCCATCTATCCATTGTTCTATCCATCTATCCACCCATCTTTCCTTCCTTCCTTCCTTCCTTCCTTCCTTCCTTCCTTCCTTCCTTCCTTCCTTCACTTCCCTTCCCTTCCCTTCCCTTCCCTCCCTCCCTCCCTCCCTCCTTTCAGGTGTTTGCTCAAATAGCACCTTGGCAGCCTAATGCTGCCCCCTCTATCCCTCATTCTCTCCCCTGCTGTGTCTGTCATCCATTGCTCATCACCTGACATTACATCCACAGTCATCTCTACACATGTTCACTATCTGGAAAGGAAGCTGCATAAGAACAGGGGTTTTGGCCAGGCGTGATGGCTTATGCCTGTATTCCCAGCACTTTGGGAGGCCACGGTGGTTGGGGAATGCTTGAGCCCAGGAGTTCAAGACCAGCCTGGGCAACACAATAAGCAGCCACCTCTATAAAAATAGAAAAAAATGAGCCGGGCATGGTGGAGCATGCCTGTAATCTCAGCTACTTGGCAGGCTGAGGCAGGAGGATCACTTGAGCCCAGGAGTTCAAAGATGCAGTGAGCTGTGATTGCACCACTACACTCTAGCCTGGGCAACAGAATGAGACTGTGTAAAATAGAGTAGGGATTTTGTTTCCTGCCTTGCCACTGTGACCTCAATGGGGCTGGGCACACACTAAGGGCTTTCTGCATAGTCAGTATACAAATGGCTAAAGGAGGTGCCCACGCTTGAGGCTGGCTCTTGGCAGGTGACTGGTTGCACAGGTGAGCACAGGTGTGTCCCTTCTTGCAGGGAGGAGCTCAGCACGCCCTCCATTCACCAGCTCCATAAACAAGACACGGCCCAGAAGCTGACAGCTGTGTCAACAGCCACGCAGACAGAGTCCAGGCTCACGACCTGGTTACTTGCTCTGTTTTTCCAGACTTACGCCATTTCAGTCATTCACTTCCACCCCAGTTCCACCTTTTCATTCATTCATTTACCAAATGCTTTTTTTTAAAAAATCTGATGGGAGTCTCGCTCTGTTGCCCAGGCTGGCGTGCAGTGGCACAATCTTGGCTCACTGCGATCTCTGCCGACCAGGTTCAAGTGATTCTCCCTGCCTCAGCCTCCCAGATAGCTGGGATTACAGGTGTGGGCCACCACGCCCAGCTAATTTTTCATGTTTTTAGTAGAGACCAAGTTTCACTATGTTGGCCAGGCTGGTCTTGAACTACTGACCTCAGATGATCCATCGGCCTTGGCCTACCAAAGTGTTGGGATTACAGGCGTAAGCCACTGCGTCCAGCCCAACACCAAATACTTTTTAAGCACCTAATATGTTCCTAACACGAGCTGGTACTTACTTTCTTTTTCAGAGACAGGGTCTTGCTCTATTGCCCAGGTTGAAGCGCAGTGGTGCAATCATAGCTCACTGCAGCCTCGACTTCTGGCTAAAGTGATCCTCCCGCCTCAGCCTCTTGAGTAGCTAGGACTACAGGCATGGGTTACTATGCCCAGCTATTTATTTTTTATTTTTTGGAGTGATGGGGTCTTGCTATGTTGCCCGGGCTGATGCTGAACTCCTGGGCTCAAGTGATCCTCCTGTCTCAGCCTCAAAGTGCTGAGATTACAGGCATGAGCCAGTGCTCCTGGCCTTAAGCAAGTACTTTCACGGGTCACCCATCCCCCCAAGGCTGGCCTGACCATCCACTTCACTCTTGCCTCCTCCTGTGACCTTGGATGGGGCCTTGACACGCTGTCCTCCCCGCTGGCTCCCACGTCTCCTGGCTGCTCCCTGTCCTAGTCCTAGCCCTGCTTCACATGCTTTGTCTGTGTTCCTACAAGTGCCCGCCCAGAGCTGGACCTACCTCCAGCCCTGCCTGGGCCCTCCCTTAGGTGCCTTTGACATTGTTTTCCTGTTGATGCAGCGGCCCCGGTCTGCGTTGGTGGTTTTGGCATCCAGATCCCACTGAGAAGGCACACTTAGCTCATTGTCAGATTAAACCCTCGAAATCTCAACAGCTGGGAAAGCATCTCTCCCCTCAAGCCCCCACCTCCCACACCAGCAGCAGCCCCAGCCCCAGCCCCAGCCCTTGAGCAATGCTTTGAGTTGCAGCAATTTCATCTCTGTCCGGTTCATCTGGTTTATTGGGGCCTGTTTTTCCAGCAACGGGGAGATTCAGTGGACAGAGAGCCAACTCCCCAACCCTGCTGTTGGGTAGGGGCTGGCTTCATGCAGAGCCACCTTGCACCATCCTTGGTCCCTCACCTGGTCCTAGCATCTTCCCAGAGGACATGTCCTCAAGGCTTCCTGAAGCCCAACATTTCCCCCAGTTCTTCTTCTTATTATTACTATTTTTGAAACGGAGTCTCACATTGTTGCCAGGCTGGAGTGCAGTGGTGCAATCTCAGCTCACGGCAACCTCTGCCTCCCAGGTTCAAGCGATTCTCCTGCCTCAGCCTCCTGAGTAGCTGGGATTACAGGCACACCACCACACCTGACTAATTTTTGGTATTTTTAGTAGAAACAGCGTTTCACCATGTTGGTCAGGCTGGTCTTGAATGCCTGACCTCGTGATCCACCCACCTCAGCCTCCAAGTGCTGGAATTACAGGCATGAGCCACCAAGCCCGGCCCCCAATTCTTACTTTTCCGTTTCTTCCCTCTTTTTTTTTTAAATTTTTATTTTTTTAAGACAGGGTTTCACCATGTTGGTCAACTGGTCTTGAACTCCCAACCTCAGGTGATCCGCCCGCCTTGGCCTCCAAAGTGCTTGGATTACAGGCGTGAGCCACCACGCCCAGCCTGTTTCTTCCCTCTCTACACCGCCTGCACCATCGCTGGCCCAATTCACCCAGATTTGGTGGCTGGTAGAGCTGGGACCAGGAGTTCCTTACCCACGTTTGGTGGGATGCCTTGGGCTGCCAAATCCCGTCCCCACCACCCATGGGGACCCCAGTACTCCTGGGTAGCTGCCTTCTCCCCCGCACGGCTCCCCAGAGAGCACTCTGGCTTATGGGGAACAATGTCTTCACCACTCCATACCCAGTACTCCTTGGATATGACCGAGGAACTAACATTTAGAAAAGGCTTGGCATTCTGGAAAGTCCAGAGCATGGGACATGCCACCGGCCTGGGTGGAACCCTCCCAAGGCAGGCAGAGCCGGCTCCTCCCTGGCTCCCGTCCCCACCTGGCTCACACCTGCCCAGGGTGGGGAGAGACTCAGGGGCAGGTGCAGACAGCCCTTTGCGGTACTGAGGAGTGAGAAGGCATGGCCGGGCCAGGGTGACCACATCAAAGGCAGCGGGCTACCCCAGGCTCCTCGCTAAGGCCTCCGGAGTCTCGCTCAGCCCTATCCCAATGTGGAAAGTCCATCCCACATGCAGAGGTGCCCCAGCTGTGGTATGAATCACAGGGCACCTCCTCCATGAAGACCTCACTGACTTCTGACTTCCCAGCCTGTTGAGACCGTATCTTCCCAGGAATTATCCTCTTTTTTTTTTTTTTTTTTGAGAGAAAGTCTCGCTCTGTTGCCCAGGCTGGAGTGCAGTAGCATGATCTTGGTTCACTGCAACCTCCGCCTCCAGGGTTCAAGTGATTCTCCTGCCTCAGCCTCCCGAGCAGCTGGGATTACAGGGGCCCACCACCACACCATGCCCAGTTAATTTCTGAATTTCTGTAGAGACAAGAGTTTCGCCATGTTGGCCAGGCTGGTCTTGAACTCCTGAGCTCAAGTGACTCACTCGCCTTGGTCTCCCAAAGTGCTGGGATGACAGGCATGAGCCACAGCACCTACCACTTACATTTTCTTTCCACAGTGAGGTGGGCTGCCATCTGCTCTGACCCTGACTGTCTTGGGTGCTAGGGACAAAGAGAGGGGTCAGGTGCAGTTCTGGCCCTCAGGGAGACAGCGGCAGACAAGGGGGCTTCAAGTTCCCAATGTGTCACCGGGCGTAGTGGCTCATGCCTGTCATCCCAGCACTTTGGGAGGCTGAGGTGGGCAGATCACGAGGTCAGGAGTTCGAGACCAGCCTGTCCAACAAAGTGAAACCCCGTCTCTACTAAAAATACAAAAATTAGCTGAGTGTGGTGGTGCATGCCTGTAGTCCCAGCTACTCAGGAGGCTCAGGCAGGAGAATTGCTTGAACCTGGGAGGTGGAGGTTACAGTGAGCCGAGACTACTGCCCTCCAACCTGGGCACAGAGCAAGACTCGGTCTCAAAAAAAAAAAAAAAAGTTCCCAATGTGTCACAGAGAGGGAACCATCAGGGTACCCAGGCCGACCCAGCCCAGGCTGGGCAACGAAAGGCTTCCTAGAGGGTGACTACCAAGACAAGTCTCAAAGAACAATTAGGAATTTGTCCCTAAAACATGAAAACAGTGTGCCAGGCAGAGAGCACAGCACGGGTAAAGCCAGGGAGGCAGGCAATGGCGTGCTGTTGCACAGGACTTGCACGTGAAGCCAACAGAGAATTTTCTGGGCCCTGTGAGTGGCTCCCCTGATGGGTGACCTGTTTTGTGTGTTTTTTTGTAGAGATCTCGTGCTGCCGCCCAGGCTGGAGTGCAGTGGTGTGATCATAGCTCACCGCAGCCTCAACCTTCTGGGTTTAAGCATTCCTCCCGCCTCAACCTCCAGGTAGCTAGGACCACAGGTGTACAGTTAATTTTTATTTTTTATTTTTTTAGATGGTGTTCTGCTCTTGTTGTCCAGGCTGGAGTGCAGTGGCATGATCTTGGCTCACTGCAACCTGCACCTCCTGGGTTCCAGGAAATCTTGTGCCTCAGCCTCTCGAATAGCTGGGATTACAGAATAGCTGGGATTACAGGTGTGTATTACCACACCCAGGTAAGTTTTGTATTTTCAGTAGAGACAGAGTTCCGCCATGTTGGCCAGGCTGGTCTCAAACTCCTGATCTCAGGTGATTTGCCTGCCTCCGCCTCCCAAAGTGCTGGGATTACAGGCATGAGTCACCGCATGTGGCCTAATTTTTAAATTTTTTTTTGTAGAGATGGGTGGTCTCACCATGTTGCCCAGGCTGGTCTTGAACTCCTGGCCTCAGGTGGTCCTCCCACCATGGCCTCCCAAAACGCTGGGATGACAGGCATGAGTCACCGTGCCCGGCCCCCAGACAGGCAATCTCTGCCCCCAACCTGCCCCGCTCCCAACCGCCGAGCCCAGGTCTGGGGCTTTGCCATCAGTTCCGCCCGCTGAAGAATCTGGAAGGGAAATATTGACACAACCACCCCCTACCCAGACAGGAGGAGCCTGAGCAGGATGACATTAGCGTTGCCGGCGCGCGGGAGCCAGCATATGGCTCCCGCTGCCGTGTTGGGGAACACGAGTGATTGCCACGTAATGAGATGCTCAACACGGCTGCTGGGGCCACACGGCGGGCCGCGCCGCCCACTCACCATATCTGCTGTTAAACAGGATCTGCACACACTCCCGGAGCGTGTTGATGTCTTCGGTTTCCTTTATGAAGGCGTCCCACTTCTCTATCAAAACACAGGAGGCACAAGTGAGCAGGGCCTCCAGGGACAGTCGCACGCCCTCCACCGGCGGCGACCCCCGGGCTTTTACCTCCAGAGCGCCTGAGGCCAGCCCCAGCCCCCAGCCCGTCCACCCTCTCCCACAGAGCATACATGAAGGCAGGGTGCTCTGATGGTCTGCCCCCATCTGCCCTCTCCTCCTGCTCTGACATTTGCCTCTGGCCTCTCCCACGGGTGTGGCGTCAGTGCTGGCTCAGCCTGTCCATCCCGAGCCCATCCTACCCCAGACATACGGGAGGCTGGAAGAGCAGTCCTCTCAGCAGAAAAAGAGGTTAAGTCTTTTTTTTTTTTTTTTGAGGAGTCTTGGTCTGTCGCCCAGGCTGAAGTGTACCGGCGTGATCTCGGCTCACTACAATCTCTGCCTCCTGGGTTCAAGCGATTCCCCAGTCTCAGCCTCCCAAGTAGCTGGAACTATAGGCACGCACCACCCCGTCCAGCTAACATTTTATACTTTAGTAGAGACAGGGTTTCACCATGTTGGCCAGGATGGTCTCGAACTACTGACCTTGTGATCTGCCCGACTTGGCCTCCCAAAGAGCTGGGATTATAGGCGTGAGCCACCGAGCTTGGCCCCTGCACCCTGTTTTTTTTTTTTTTGAGATGGTGTCTCACTCTGTCACCCAGGCTGAAGTGCAGTGGCCCAATCGCAGCTCATTACAACCTCCGTCTCCCAGGTTTGAGTACTTCTCCTGCCTCAGTCTCCCGAGTAGTTGGGATTACAGGTGCATGCCACCATATCTGGCTAATTTATTTATTTATTTATTCTTTTGTGACAGAGTCTTGCTCTGTTGCCAGGCTCCAGGCTGGAGTGTAGTGGTGCAACCTCCGCCTCCCGGGTTCAAGCAATTCTCCTGCCTCAGCCTCCCAAGTAGCTGGGATTACAGGTGTGTGCCACCACGCCCAGCTAATTTTTTGTATTTTTAGTAGAGACAGGGTTTCACCATGTTGGCCAGGCTGGTCTTGAACTCCTGACCTCAGGTGATCCACCTGCCTCGGCCTCCCAAAGTGCTGGGATTACAGGCGTGAGCCACTGTGCCCAGCCTGAGGTTGAGTATTTTATTTTTTAATTTAAATTAAAAAAAAATTAGAGATGGGGTCTCACGTGTTGCCCAGGCTGGAGGGTAGTGGTGTAATCATAGCTTATTATAGCCCCAAACTTCTAGGCTCAGGTAATCCTCCCGCCTCGGCCTCCCAAGCAGCTGCAATGACAGGTATGAGCCACCACTCCAGCTGTTTTTTTTTCTTTTCTTTTCTTTTTTTACAGACAGGGTCTCACTCTGTTGCTCAGACTGGAGTGCAGTGGTGTGATCATAGCTCACGGCAGCCTCCAACTCTTGGACTCAAACAATCCTCCCACTTCAGCCTCCTGAGTAGCTGGGAGTACCGGTGCCCGCCCCCACATCTGGCTAAGGGCTGAGTCTTGCTCTTGGGAATCTAATCCTTGTGCCCCCTACATCTGAGGTCTCACTCAGCTCTGCTGGCCTCTCAAAACCTCTGTCTTGATTGAATAATAAGTGATTGTTGATTCATGTATAATCAATAAGAGTAACAAATTTAATTTGTTAAGTGCTTATCTGTGATAAGTACTTAATATATATATATAAGGAATTAAATAGGATAATATATATATATATTATACTATTAATTGACAAGTTAATATGACAAGTTTTAAACAGAATTATTCCCATTTTGCAGATAGGAAAACTGAGGCTCAAAGAAGCTGAGTATCTTGCTTGCGATAACCCAGTGAGATTCTATCCCAGCTTGTGCCCCTGACCCACAGGCCCGTCACGCTGCTGTTCCATCTAGATATTCCGGTCCCCTTCCCGCCAAGGCTGGACCTTGTTTGGGGCAGTGGCAGTGGGGAGGGGGTAAGGGGGTAAAGGGGGAGGGGGGAGGGGGGAGGGTCTCCATTCTGATCCCAGGAGACTGGGTTTTCTTTGTTTCTTAAAATTTTATAGAGATGGAGCCTCACAAGGTTGCCTAGGCCGGTCTAGAACTTCCAGCCTCAAGTCATCCTCCCACTTCCACCTCCCAAAGCACTGGGATTACAGGTGTGAGCCACACGTGGCCTAGGACGGGGTTTTCTTACAGATCCTCTGCCTGGAGGTGAGACTGAGAGCCTCAGAAAGCAAAACTGCTGGTAAGTCCTGCCACATTCTTTCTTGGTATAACTCAATCCCACACTTTCCTATGCTCAGGCCTTCTGTGCGATACTTTAAAAATCCGTCCACATTTTTTTTTTTTTTTGGTATATGTATCGCTTCCTTTAAAAGGTGGAGTTTAACTCCTCTTCCACTGAGGGCAGGCTGGATCATGTTTCTGGCTTCTAACAGATAGAATATGGCAGAAGTGACAGTAATTTCTGAGGATGGGTCATAAAAGCCATGTGGCTTCCTTTTTCCCCTCTTCTGGATCAAGAACTCTGGGGCGAACCAGAGGCCATGTTGTGAGGATACTCAAGCAGCCCCGTCAAGGCTGGCCCACGTGGTGGGAACTGAGGCCTCCTGCCAACAGCTGCGTGAATGAGCTCAGAAGCGTCTCCTCCAGCTCCAGCTGAGCTCTTGGATGACGGCAGCCCCAGCTGACATCTTGACTGCAACCTCATGAGAGACCCTGACCCAGCACTGCCCAGCTTGGCCGGTCCTGAATTCCCAACCCCCAGAAACTGTGAGGTAATAAACACTTGTTGTTTTAAGCTCCATTTGGGGGTTATTTATTTTTTGTTATAACTTTTTTTAGAAATAGGGTCTTACTGTTGCCCAGGCTGGAGTGCAGTGGTATAATCACAGCTCACTGCAGCCTCCAATTCCTGGGCTCAAGTGATCCTCCTGCCACAGCCTCCCAAGTAGCTGGGACTATGGGTAGGCACCACCACGTTCATCTAATTTTTCTTATTTTTTGCAGAGACAGTGTTTCACTATATTGCCCAGGCTGGTCTCAAACTCCTGGCCTCAAGCAACTCTCCTGCCTCAGCCTCCCAAAGTGCTGGGATTATAGGCATGAGCCACCGTGCCTAATCCGGGGTAGTTTATCACACGGTAATAGATAACTGTGACACCCCGCCTTACTCACAGCTGCTTCAGCACAGCTGTTCCTCCTTTCTGTCACAAACACCCAGGAGACGCATTTCCCTTTCAGTGAGCACTGCCTCCAACCCCGGAATCCCAGTCAGGCCGGGGTGCTGCGAGGGCGCTGTCCTACCTGACTTGTCATGGACGATGGAGAAGAGAATGCGCTTGGAGGCATGGACGTTCTGGATGAGAGGCCCGCCAGGCCCCGGGGGCTTCTGTCCTGGACAAGGCAGAGAAGGAAACAGGTTCCAGGTGGGCCCCAAGAGGGTTCCCCAGAGCTGGCCCCAGCACACAGGCCCTGGCTCTGGGGTAACAGCCTCATCTGCCAGGGAGACCCCAGAACTGATTCCTGTGATTGCAAACTCAAGGCAAAGTCCCTGACCAGAAGCCTAAGATATTCTGCACCAGAATCTGCCAGCCAAAAGCCAGATCATCAAGAAAGGGATGTTGGAGGCACCGTTTCCAGGTAAGAACACTTGTTTTGCGTGTATAAGCTTGAAGCCCTGGTCAGCTCACATATCTGGGCTTTTCCCCCCTTAGAATAATAATAATTATTAATAATAATAATAGTGTATATAACTTATAAGCACCTACTACAGGCCAAGCATTAGACCCAGTGCTATTTTTTTTTATTTTTGGTAGAGATAGGATCTTGCTATGTTGCCCAGGCTGGTCTTGAACTCCTGGGCTCAAGCGATCCTTCCGCCTCAGCCTCCCAAAGAGCTGGAATTACAGGTACGCCTGGCCAGACCCAGTGCTTTAACAAAGCGACTCTCAAACTCGAGCACACTGGAACACTGGGCAGAGTTGCGCAGAGACGACTGGGTCCCATCCCCAAAGCTTCAGATTCAGCCACACTGCAGTGGGGCCTGAGAATGTGGATTTCTAACCCTCTCAGGAGGTGCTACTGCCACTGATCTGTTACTTAATCATGGTAACAGTTGTGGGAAGCAGGTACTGGTAGCACCCCCCTTTTGTAGAGGAAGAAGCTGAGGCTGCGAGTGGAGATCTGCCCAGGATACCCAGCCACTAAGCAGAGGAGCCAGGAGATGAGTCCAGGTGCTCCTCACCTGCAGCTGTTCCTTTTGTCCTGTTTGCCCCGGGACCTCCTTTCCCCAGTGCCCTTAATCAGGCTGGGTACTCAGTAGGTCCCAGCCTACTGAGTACCCAGCCTGAACCGTACTGGGTCCTCATTGAAGGCATGGGGATGACTAATCTGCCTACTTCCTCTACAGCACGTGATGTGGATCTCCCACTTTTGACACCGGAAATATTGCTGGTGCTCTTTTTCTTGGAGGCAGAGTTGTGCTCTGTCGCCCAGGCTGGAGTGCAGAGGTGCAATCATCGCTCCATGCAGCCTCAGACTCCTGGGCTCAGGCGATCCTCCCGCCTCAGCCTCCTGAGTGGCTGGGACCCAGGGAGTCCTCACAGGCATCTCTTAGTCCAAGGCCAAGGATATCATTCACAGATGGCTGAGCAGCCAGGACACCATCTGTCCAGCCCCATCCCCACACCCAGACATGGCTCCTTCCAACCTAGGAGGGCCCGGGCATCCTGACCTGCCCTGGGAGGATGTCCCTGGAACAAGTGACCTCTGTCCCACCCCCATACTTGGAGATCCCAGTAGCAGTGTTACCACAACAGTCGGAGAAATCTTGGGCACTGGCAGCCTTGGGCTCTGGCACGGGCCGGCCCAGGCCCAAGTCGCTGGGGACAAGGGGGTAGGAAGGCGGTTCCTGCTTGAGCTCTCGGATGGCGTGGTTGGGGAGCGCTGTGCTGTACAGGAAGCTGGCCACGGAGGAGGAGGTGGCAGTGGGGGGAAGGTCCTGGGGTGGCACCTTGGGGGCCTGGCCATGCAGGCCACAGTCCCGTGACCCCTTGGGTATCAGGGAGACACCGTTCAGCTCCACCAGGGCCTTCGAGTCCCGCCCGCCATCCTCAAGTGGCCTGGGTAAAGGAGAGGACACATGACAGCTTTGTACATCTGTTTCACACATCGCATCTCTTCCTGCGCAACCCTGAATCCCCACCCTTTGCAGAACACAGTGGCTCCAGGAGGAGGGCAGGACAGGAGCTAGTCTTTCACTTGACAAGTGGGGATGCCAGCTCAGAGGTGGGGGTGGTGTCCAGGGCCACAGATCCAGGCCACCGGAGGACCTGGGCGCAGCACCTCTGCTCCAGTCCACAGATCAGGTCCTCCAGGTGCAGCTGACTGCCTCCTATCTCCTGCTGCACCCCTCCCCTTCCCCGCCTCTACACTGCCTGGGGCGCCTCACAGAAATGGACTCAGCCTTGAAGCCCCCAGGCTGCTTTCCTGGCTGTCCTGAGAAGTGGAATTGCCTCAGACCAGCCTCAAAAACCTAATCTTCCGTGGGTCCCTAATTAACCCTGGATTTACAACCTGAGCAAGCACCGACCCCACTTCTGACACCTAAAAACGCCACCTTTTTTTTTGAGACAGAGTGTTGTTCTGTCACCCAGGCAGGAGGGCAGTGGCGTGATCTTGGCTCACTGCAACTTCTGCCCCCCAGGTTCAAGTGATTCTCCTGCCTCAGGCTCCCAGGCCGCTGAGACAACAGGTGCACGCCACCATGCCCAGCTAAATTTTTTTGTATTTTTAGTAGAGATGGGGCTTTACCATATTGGCCAGGCTGGTCTCGAATTCCTGACCTTGTGATCCATCCACCTCTGCCTCCCAAAGTGCTGGGATTACAGGCATGAGCCACTGTGCCCGCCCCCGCCCACCTTTTTTTTTTTTTTTTTTTAAAGAGACAGGGCCTTGATCTGTCGCCCAGGCTGGAGTGCGGTGATGCAATCACAGCTCACTGCATCCTCCAATTCCTGAGCTCAAGCAATCCTCTTGCCTTGGCCTCCTGAATAGCTGGGACAGCAGGTGTGCACCACCACATGTGGGTAATTTTTTTTCTTTTTTTTTTGGCAGAGACAGGGTCTTGTTACATTGTCCAGGCTGGTCTCGAACTCCTGGCCTCAAGTGATCCTTCCACCTCAGCCTCCCAAAGGGCTGAAATTACAGGCATGAGCCACTGCACTCAACCATCTTGGTGCTATTTGGTCCCAAGTCGTGTCTCTCCTAATCTGTTTGCAGTGCAAAAGTTCCCTGGGAAGACTTCCAAGGCTCAGATCCTGCTCTATGACTTCGCTTTCACTTCGCCTCCACCATCAGACTAGGAGTTTTCACAGCCAGGGTCTCCTACGGGCCTCTCAAGTCCCTTCCCCTCTGGCTAAGTGACCTCCAGCCCCCAGCCTCAGGCTGGCTACCTCACTCACCTCTTGAGCTTGAAGCGGATGCGGTGGCTGTGTTCCAGGATGGCCATGAGGGCCTTGGGGTCGTACTCGGCCGGCCTCCGGAAGGCCAGGCCCTCGGGCAGACCCTGCACGGCCAGCAGCCCCGGCTCCCTGAGCAGCCGCTCATAGGGCAGCGGCACCACACTGGCCCTTCCCAGGGCCTCGCCTGTAGGGGGGAGTGCAGGAGAAAGGCCTGGTATGAGAGAGCAGCCAGGCTGGGGTTGGGGCTGCTGTGCCCCAGAGCAAGGGCAATGTTGAGTGGCTCCCCTTGGTGCGGGGTTCCCACGGATCCCTCACAGCTGCAGACTTAGTGCAGAATAACCGCCTAGAGGCTAGGGGTGGGATGGGCAGGTGGGTGCTGAGGACAAGGCCCCGTTGTCTGCACCTGGGGGGCTGAGGATCCCCCACTGAGGGATTCCCTGCTGCCCTCCCCGGCCAAGCCCCTCTCTACTCTGGGCACCTGGCTGGAGGGGAAACCAGGGACTGCAAGGGCCCAGAGGACAAAGCAGAGGGGGACAACCTGGCGGGAGCAAAGAGGGCAGAAAAGATGGAGAAGGGGTGACTTGCATGAGCCGGGCTGCGAGGAAGAAGCTGTGAGGGCCGGCGCAGTGCTCACACCTGCAATCCCAGCACTTCGAGAGGCCAAGGCGGCGGATCACCTGAGGCCAGGAGTTCAAGACCAGCCTGGCCGAGAGGATGAAACCCCGTCTCTGCTAAAAACACAAAAATTAGCTGGGCACGGTGGTGGGCACCCGTAGTCCCAACTGTTCGGGAGGCTGAGGCAGGAGAATCACTTGAACCCGGGAGGCAGAGGTTGCAGTGAGCCCAGATCGCACCACTGCACTCCAGCCTGGGTGACAGAGCGAGAATCCGTCTCAAAAAAAAAAAAAAAAAAAAAGGTGTAACGTAGAAGAGAGAGAGACTGAGAGTGGGGAGAGAAAGCAAGAAGGAGAGGAAGTGGAGAGGGAGCAGAAATGTGGGATTCAGAGAAAGACGGGAGACAGGAGGAAGAGACAGACTGAGAAGGCACAGGGACAAAGATGGGGCTGGGGGGGCACAGAGGAGGGGAAGCAGGCTGGGGACTGAGGATTGGAGGATGGCCCAGGGGCCTAGGCACTGGGATATCTGCTGTCACCCCCATGCTGCAGCTCCGACCCTGAGCCAGAAAGAGGCCTATGCTCTCACAGCCTCCTTGAGTTCTGCCCGAAGTAGAAAAGGGGGGCCAGGGCAAGGTGGGCAGAGGTGCAGGTGACTGTGCATGAGCCTTGCAGCTGGCAAACGTGTCGACAGGGGCACAGCCAGGCATGCATGGCAAGTCCCATCGCAGGGAGGCCAGCGTGACCACCCAGGGGCTCTGTGTACCCCTCCTTCTGACAGAAGAGCAGCAGAAGGTTCCTTGCAGACCCTTTGTGGGAAGTAGAAAAGTTCCTTTTTAAAGTTTCCTTTCTGGTTAAAAAAACATAAGTGTGCTAATACCTTTGTGAAGCCCTATCCTGTGTAGCTGTGAGACACGCCACGCTTACAGGCACGTAGCACATTCTACATCCTTGTACTTTGACCAAGATATCTGTGCTGGACGTGCTCACGGGCATGTCCCAGCTCTCCATTGCTTTTACCTGCTTAGAAAAGTTTTCAGTTATCAGCCAATCAGGTTTTAGTTTAGATTGTGAGGTCTGGCTCCAGCCAATGGAGGTCAGACACAGCAGTAAGGAGATCCCAGATGAGTAAGGGATAAATTTGTGTGTTTCCCTTTGTTCATTGTACTCTCGTGGCAAGATGGCTAGTGAGGGTACCCTTCCCGCAGCCCAGGAAGTACAAATTGCGTTGTTGAAAGATCCTTTGTCTCAGGGCTGATTTTTCTTTGCAGCACCAAGCACCTGCTTCCAACACCCTTGCTCCATAAAACCAAAGGCTACAGTAGGAGAAGGGTAAAGCCAAGTCAGCAATGAATGAAGTGGGACCCTGAGGACCAAAGGGACCTGCCCAAGGTTGCCTAGGGAGTGTGAAGGCCACCACTGGGCCCCCCAAGGCCCACTGCAACCTGATGTTTCCCAAGGGAGGCTGGGTCTCCTTTCCTCTCCCTGCAGGAGAGACGTGGCTGAGCAATCAGCCTTCGCTTAGTCATTCAACAAACACTCTCTGAGCACCTGCTGTTGCTGGGCCCTGAACTGCAGGCTGGAGACAGCTAGAAAGAGCAGACTCAGCCCCTGACCCTGGAGAGCTCCTGGGCTGGTGAGGGGACAGGGCACTGTGGGTACCAAGAGTGGGGGGCGTACCCCACTGCAAGGGGGCTTCCAGGAGCTGAGCCTCTGCGTCATGCGGGTGTCCGCCAGACAGAGGAGGGGAAAGGCAGTCTCAAAAGATGCCACGGCTGGTTCTGTAGGGAGGTCAGTAGGGCCCTGTCGTTTAGTGGGAGAAGAAGGTGGGGAGGGAATGAGGATGGGTGTGTGGACCCGTGTGCCATGCTCAGGGTGACTGGGAGCCCCCCCCCCAGGTTGTGGAGGGAAGAACTTCATTCATGATCAGACTTGTGCTTTGAGAAGACGCCCTTGGCTGCAGGGAAGGTGTGGGGAGCTGGCCTCGAGGCAGGGAGACCGTGGCAAGCCCGGGTCTATTTCTAGGTGAGAGGTGGCAGTGACTTGAACAAGGGCAGGGACAACGGGGGTGGAGGTCTAGGAAATGGCTGGAGCAGAATACTGTGCCTGGGAATGCAGAGATGAGGAAGGGCTGGGGTGGCCAGTACCCCCCATGCCTTGGGGTCCGGCTTTGCCCAGGGCCCATCCTGGGACAGGAGGGGGCCCCTCTGCTTGGTTGGGACCCGGGCTCCCACCCTCCCTGGGGCCCCCAAATGGAATGAGGAAGGATCTTACTATAAAGAACATCAAACACCTCCTCTACCATCTTCCGCAGAAGGTACACATCTGAGCCGTGCTCCAGCGAGGACCGTGGAAGGCTCCGGCCGCCGCCCTCGCACCGCTGCACCTTCTTGGGGTGCTCTGCCTCTGGATCCTTCCACGGGGGCCCTCCTGTGGGAGACAGAGCACGCCAGGCCACAGTGAGCACTCATCTCACCACCCACAGCCTTCGAGCTGGGATGTCTCTGCCCTGTGCTGAGCCGTGGAGCCTGGCACCCAATGCAATACACAAGTGAATGAACGAAGAACTGATGAGTGAGCAAGCCCGATTCCCACCACCCCACTGAGGGCCAGGGCTGATCATCTCAGAGATCCCAGTGCCTGGCCCAGGGCTGGGCCTCACCTCTGGTCACCTCTAACATGCTGTGTGACCTTAGCTAAGTCCCTTCTGTCTCTGAGCCTCAGTCTGTGAATGCTCACGGGAGAGACCAGCTATCCTGGCTCAGAACTGGGGTTTGATGAATGTTTGTTCCATCTGCACCTTTTTTTTTTTTTTTTTTTTGAGATGGAGTCTTGCTCTGTTGCCCAGGCTGGAGTGCAGTGGTGTGATCTCAGCTCACTACAACCTCCACCTCCAGGGTTCAAGAGATTCTCCTGCCTCGGCCTCCTGAGTGGCTAGGATTACATGTGTGTGCCACCACACCTGGCTAATTTTTGTATTTTTGGTAGACACAGGGTCTCACCATATTGGCCAAGCTGATCTCAAACTCCTGACCTCAAGTGATCCACCCGCCTCGGCCTCCCAAAGTGCTGGGATTACAAGCGTGAGCCACCATGCCCGGCCCCATCCACGCCTTTCTGTGCTCTGACACAAACACCTTCTTGACTAACCTATGTCCCCATTTTCTGCTCTGCCAGAGGGAGAGACAATGGGCACCCTTGCCCCTGCTCCAAGGAGGCTGTGGGTTGCAATCAGCAGGTTCATGCTAGGCTGGGCCAGGGTGGGGACCTGAGAGTACTGGTGGATCCTTGGGGAATGTGCTAGAAGCGGCATTGGAAAGAAGATGAGAAGAGGGGCCAGTGGCCCCCCTGCCAGCTTGGAGCCTGTTCTCCTCTGGGATCTGCGGAGCTTGAAATAAACCAGCCGAGTTCCCGGTGCTATAAATAGCGGCTCTGCCTGGCTGGAGAAGTCAGGTGCACCGCCCCACGCCCTGGGAGGCTGGGGCCACAGGCCCCGCTGCCGACCACTCTACGCAGCCCTAGTCCCCCATCCTGGCCTGGGAGAGGGTCTAGGCTCTGAGGGGCTGAGTGGGGATGCGGGACTGGCTGGGGGCATGGCTGTGCCCCAGTAATGACAGGCCCAGTGCTGGGGGATGCCCTTCCTCGACACAGCGGATCTTAGGGATGTGATGGGGATGTAATCACAGCAACAGCAGCTGGTGTGTACTGAGTGTGAACCAGGCGCCAGACACAGCCCTGAGTGCTTGCCAGGTACGAATTTGTCTAACCCTCAGACCCACTCATTCTCCCCTTTCACAGATGAGCAGGTTGAGGCACAGCAGGTGTGGGCCCAGGCAGCCTGTTCCCTTTTTGTTTGAGACAGAGTCTCGCTCTGCCGCCCAGACTGGAGTGCAATGGTGTGATCCCGGCTCACTGCAACCTCCACTTTCCAGGTTCAAGCGATTCTCCTGCCTCAGCTTCCCATGTAGCTGGGACTACAGGCACGTGCCTCATGCCCAGTTAATTTTTTTTTTTTTTTTGTATCATTAGTAGAGATGGGGTTTTATCATATTGGCCTGGCTGGTCTTGAACTTCTGACCTCATGATCCACTCACCTCGGCCTCCTAAAGTGCTGGGATTACAGGCGTGAGCCACACTGTGCCCAGCTGCAGCCCATTCTCTTAACCTCATGCTACACCATGGTTCTTTTGAGATGGGGTCTCACCGTTACCCAGGCTGGAGTGCAGTGGTGGCATCGTAGCTCACTACAGCCATGAACTCCCAGGCTCAAGTGATCCTCCTGCCTCAGCCTCCCAAGCAGCTGGGACTACACGTGTGCACCATCAAGCCTGGGTTTTAAATTGTTTGTAGAGACAGTGGTCTCGATATATTGCCCAGACTGGCCTCCAACTCCTGGGCTCAAGTGATCCTCCCAGTTCAGCCTCCCAAAGTGCTAGGACTACAGACATGAGCCACTGCACTGGCCTAAGATGACTTAATGACAGCATCTGTCCCCTTGGGTTGATGTCAGGGGAAGTGAGTTAGCGTCAGAAAGGACACCACGTACAGTAGGCTTTCGACAAATCTTGCTGAAACATGGCTGGGCGCGGTGGCTCACGCCTGTAATCTCAGCAGTTTGGGAGGCTGAGGTGGGTGGATCACTTGAGGTCAGGAGTTTGAGACCAGCCTGGCCAATATGGTGAAACCATGTCTCTACTAAAAAGACAAAAATTAGCCAGGTGTGGTGGTGGGCACCTGTAGTTCCAGCTATTCGCGAAGCTGAGGCAGGAGAATCGCTTGAACCGGGGGAGGGAGAGGTTGCAGTGAGCCGAGATCGCATCACTGCACTCCAGCCTGGGCAACAGAGTGAGAATCTGTCTCATAAAAAAAAAAAATCGTGTTGGAAGAAGTGCATTTGGTCCTTGTGTTCAGGGATACACAGTTAAGAGGAAGAACTGGGCAACCTTGAGCCTTGGTGTCCCCATCTGGAAAAGGCAGAGGGAAGGGACTGGCTCTGGCCCAGCCTGGGGTTCACCTGGCCAGTGTCTGTCAGCTTGGGGGCTGCTGAATGATTCCATCAAAACCCACGGCTGCCTCTATAACACCACGTCGGAAATCTCAGAAAACGCCACTTGCCCAGTTCATCTCCCACACGCTGCCACCCTGGCTAGCCAGGGTTGGGGACCCAGAGACGGGCTGGAGCGTCTGCCCTGGGGGAGTGGCGGCCGGGTCCTCCGGCACCCTGGGGTACTCACGGCAGAACCTGAGGAAGTCTGACTGTAGCTCCTTCCGGGCATTCAGGAACATTCTCCCCTTCTCCGTGCCCACCACGAAGGCGCTCTCATCGTGCACAGCCACACAGGCCACCTCGGCGTTCAGTTTGGACAGCGCTGAGCACTGTGGGAAGAGCAGGGTGTGTGAGCGGAAGGACGCCCCGACTCCAAACACGTCTAGTACCCATTTCCAGGGTGGATGTGAGCTCCCAGCTGCCTGAGACCCCAGCAGCAGCTCCAGGGACAGATGGTCCCTCCACTGTTGTTGGTCTTAGATTTTGTAGTGGGAATGAATGAATGACCCTCCAGGGATTGGTGATGGGGGGCTGGAGGAGGACAGATGTCCTCTGCTCCTCCCTCCAAGGTCCCCGTCCTTAGGGTAAGCCCACCTTAGCCCCAGCCCCAGGGACAATCTCATGCTGGGCTCTCTTGGTCCCTCTGAAGTCCTCGATGAGGAGGAGGTGAGAAGAACCGCAGCAGAAGCAGGGATCGGACAGACTGGGGCTGCAGTCCCACCCTCGCCACTCAGGGATCCAGTTTCCACATCTGTTTTTTTGTGTTGTTTTGTTGTTTTTTGAGACGCAGCTTCACTCTGTCACCCAGGCTGGAGTGCAGTGGCACAATCTTGGCTCACTGCAACCTCCGCCTCCCGGGTTCAAGAGATTCTCCTGCCTCAGCCTCCTGAATAGCTGAGATTACAGGTACGTGCCACCACACCCGGCTCATTTTTGTATTATAAGTAGAGATGGGGTTTCACCATGTTGGCAAGGCTGGTCTTGAACTCCTGACCTCCGGTGATCCGCCCACCTCAGCCTCCCAAAGTGCTGGGATTACAGGAGTGACATTGTGACTGGCCACTTTCCACACCTGTAGAACTGGGGACAAGCAGCCCAGCTGCACGGCACCTCTGGACTTGGGTATGGGGATTCAATGGCTGGAGGAAAAGGATCTCTAAACTGGGCCACCCTGTACAGGTATACAGACAGCTGGCTATGCTCATGGCCCCAGAGTCGAGGTCTGCAGCCCCACAGCACAGAGGCCTTAATGGGGGGGTCCCTGCAACCAATACCACCAGCATCTCAAGTGTCTGACCTGCCTCAGCAGGAAAACCCTGACTGTGAAGCCTGTGGCATGCAGTTGTGCCTAATAAATGCTGGTTTTCATCTGAGTCCAGTAGTGCTGGCAGCTATAAATAAAATCTGGCTTCCAATTGCAGTTCTGTGCTGTGTGACCCAGGACAGGTGACTTCTCTGGGCCACAATCTTGCCTCTTGTGGCAGCCCCAGCCAGGAGCCACTCTGGTTAGGAAGTGGTGTGGATGGCATGGGGCCAGGAGGCCTGTCCTCCAGGGTCCCTGCTAGAAAATTAACACCCAGGGGCACTCATTTTCCCCTCACTAAGATGAAGACAAAACCTCGCTGTTCTTTCTCTGTGTGGGAACAGTGGCGTGTTAACAAAAAAATCAATAGGCCGGGCGCAGCGGCTCACCCCGTAATCCCAGCACTTTGGGAGGCCGAGGCGGGCAGATCACCTGCTGTCGGGAGTTCGAGTCCAGCCTGACCAACATGGAGAAACCTCGTCTCTACTAAAAATATGTAATTAGCCAGGTATGGTGGCGCATGCCTGTAATTCCAGCTACTCAGGAGGCTGAGGCAGGAGAAACACTTGAGCCCAGGAGGTGGAGGTTGCAGTGAGCTGAGATCACACCGCTGCACTCCAGCTTGAGTGACAGAGCAAAACTCCATCTCAAAAAAAAAAAAAAAAAAAAAAGCAAATAGCCACATGTCGCTAGTGACCATGGCACTGGCCATCGCTGCCCATGTCAGGCACATCTCCACCACTGCCAACCTAACAGTGCTTTGGGACACAGGGCTGAGCTCCTGGGGGCCCCTCCTCGTGAAGGTCACTCTGCATAGGGGAGGGGTCGTTGTGAAGAGACTGTGGCACCCAGCTACTTCCCCAGCGGTGTCTCCTACCTTTGTCCCAAACACCACCTAAGCAGCCCTTTAAAATTGAGACAGAGTCTCGCTCCCCAGGCTGGAGTGCAGAGGTGTGATCTTGGCTCACTGCAACTTCCACCTCCCAGGTTCAAGCCATTCTCCTGCCTCAGCCTCCTGAGTAGCTGGGACTACAGGCAGGTGCCACCATACCAGTCTAATTTATTTATTTTGAGATGGAGTCTCCCTCTGTAGCCCAGGCTGGAGTGCAGTGGCACGATCTCTGCTCACCGAAACCTCCACTTCTGGCGTTCAAGTGATTCTCCTGCCTCAGCCCCCCAAGTAGCTGGGATTACAGGGATGCGCCACCACGCCCAGCTAATTCTGTATTCTCAGTAGAGATGGGGTTTTGGCATGTTGGCCAGGATGGTCTCGATCTCCTGACTCCAACTGATCCAGCCGCCTTGGCCCCTAAAAGAGCTGGGATTACAGGCGTGAGCCAATGTGCTGGGCCAGATTTTTTTTTTCTTAACACTTACATAACTGCCCTCCAGGAAAAGGCTGAAGAAAATGATATTACAATGTCCTCATTTGGGATAAATTGCTGTAGGTCTAGGCATGCAGGCAGCAGCGCCAGAGGAGTGATATAAAGCCCCGTTTCCCTCTTCCCACGCGAGATGCAGGTAGAACTCCTGCTTTAACATTGGGAATTGCAGCTTTTTTTTTTTTTTTAAATGGAGTCTTGCTCTGTGGTCCAGGCTGGAGTGCAGCGGCATGATCTCGGCTCACTGCAACCTCCGCCTCCCGGGTTCAAGTGATTCTCCTGCCTCAGCCTCCTGAGTAGCTGGGATTACAGGTTTGAGCCACCACACCCGGCTAATTTTTGTATTTTTAGTAGAGATGGGGTTTCTCCATGTTAGCCAGGATGGTCTCAATCTCTTAACCTCGTGATCCTCCTGTCTCGACCTCCCAAAGTGCTGGGATTACAGGCTCTCACCACCATGGCCAGCTAATTTTTGTATCTTTAGTGGGGACGGGGTTTCTCCATGTTGGCCAGGATGGTCTCCATCTCTTGACCTTGTGATCTGCCAAACTCAGCCTCCCAAAGTGCTGGGATTACAGGTGTGAGCCCCCACGCCCAGCCTGCCAGGGCTGGAGTTTCACGTACCGGATCTCACTTACATCTCCCATCCTTGACTTGAACATCGTGGCCCTAGCTGCAGTCGGGGAAACTGAGGCTCGGGTTAGTAAAAGCTCCTCTGAGTGGCTGAGGTGGGACTGAGCTACAAGGCAGGGTGGGGGTGCTCACCATGGCCCCTCCTCCTGGGCAGGCGGGGACACTCACCATGGAGTCTAAGGCAGACACGAGGCTGGTGATAATCTCGTCTTTGCGGGTGAAGGCGGAGTTCCAGCGGTCGGGCCCGCAGCCGTTGGCGGGGACGTCACAGCGCTTGCCCAGCAAGGCCATGGTCACCTGTGGGGAGGGAGAAGGCAGTGGCAGTGGGCACGAGGCAGGGGGCGTGGCTCAGGTGGTGGCCACCCACCCCAAACCATCTCTGTATCCAGGGCTGACCTTCCCTGGACGCAAGGGCTTTATGTGTGATGGGATTAGAGTTTGCACAGGCCTGGGCACAGGTGGCAGGATAACTCACGCCCTGTGCCACGCCCTCCCACGTCTGCACCCCCAAGCCAAGCCCAGCACCAGGATCAGTCTATTGGGCAGGCCCCAACCACCACCTCTCCCCACGTGTGCACCTCTGGCCACAGCCCTCCCTCGCTCACACACCCTCCATGGCTCCCTACTGCCCACATTAGCTCTCGACTCCTCGGCTTGATATTCTAGCTTCCTGGTCTGCTGTCCCTCACTCCAGTTCCCCCTCACACCCCAAGCTCCAGGTCCTCTAAGCTGTGCCACTCCCAGATGTGCCAGTGTTCATGCTTCCCTAGTCTACAGGCTCCGTTCTCTCTGCCTCAATCACCCTTCCTGTCCCTGCCATCATTTGCTGGTTGTCTTGGAAACTTTTTTTTTTTAGACAGAGTCTTGTTCTGTTACCAGGCTGGAGTGCAGTGGCGCAATCTCGGCTCACTGCAACCTCTGTCTCCCGGGTTCAAGTGATTCTCCTGCCTCAGCCTCCCTAGTAACTGGGACTGCAGGCATGTGCCACCACACCCAGCTAATTTTCGTATTTTTAGTAGAGACAGTGTTTCTTCATGTTGGCCAGGCTGGTCATGAACTCCTGACCTCAGGTGATCTGCCTACCTCAGCCTCCCAAAGTGCTGGGATTACAGGTGTGAGCCACCACACCCAGCCTGAATATTTTTTAAATTTTTAATTAAATTTGATTTTGAGACAGAGTCTCACTCTGTTGCCCAGGCTTGAGTGCAATGGTGTGATCTGCAACCTCCCCTTCCTGGGTTCAAACAATTCTCCTGCCTCAGCCTCCCTGGCAACTGGGATTACAGGCACCACCGCACATCCAGCTAATTTTTGTACTTTTACTAGAGACAGGGTTTCACCATGTTGGCCAGGCTGGTCTTGAACTCCTGACCTCATGTGATCCACCTGCCTCAGCCTCCCAAAGTGCTGGAATTACAGGCATGAACCACCGCCCCTGGCCTCATCAAAGCTTTTAATTGTCTGACCTGCTGGCCCACCTCCTGTGTCCCCAACCTGAAGCGGAGCTGGGTCAGGAGCCAGCGATGTCTTCCCCTCCCTTCCGCATGCCTCTGAGCTTGACTATCACATTTTTGCAGTAAGCCACGTGCTCCCGAGGCCAATGCCTTCAGCCTCCAGGCCTCCCAGCTTCAGTTTCCATCCTAGCCAGGAGACTTGGCCTCAGGGGCATAAGATACAGAGGTGAAGAGGCTGTCTCATCGCAGGTCGGGGGCTCCCCAGGGCAGGACTGTCCCACTGCAATGGGGCTGCTGGGGAACAGAGCTGCATTGTCCCCCTCAAGCCCAGGGCCCCAAGTGTGGCTTCCCATTGCATGGTGCAGGCTTGCTGGGTACAGTGCCCAGCTGAGCACCCACGAGATACAAAGATCAGCCTTCCTCAGCCCCTGGTTGTGCCCTGCCTTTCTCCTTCTCTACCCAGGGGCCACCCACACGCTGCCCCAGTGGCAGGGCCTGCCCTCAAGGCAGCTGTCCCTGCACCAATCCGAGTAAAGAAGGCAGAGACCAGAGGTGGGACGGCTCGGTTTCCCTCTCTGGACTCAGTCCCAATGCGCTCTGTGTGGCCTCTGCTGGCCGCTGACAGAGTGCAGAGCTGAGGACCCAAAAGAGCCTGTAAACCTGCTCTGTCTCCCACCTGCACACAAGGAGTTTCTGCATCCAACGGGGCAGGGCAGGCCCAAGCAGGAGGCCCGTGGCACTGGCTCTGCAAAGGGTACCAGGCCTGGGGTGTCTTCTGCTGCCACAGCAGCTCCTGTTGACCGTAAGCTCTCCGAGGGCAGAAACCAGGTCCACCTGCTACTGTTTGCAACCCAAGACCCGGGTCGGTGCCCAACGTGCATTGAGGCCCAAGGAGTGTGGTCCCAGCCACAGACAGGCCTTTCAGGAGGTCATGATCTACTGATCACTGGCCGATGACAGAGCACACCACACTTTGCAAGGCCAGAGGCGTCCAACCTCAGGGACAGAAACGTCCCAAGAAATCAGAGACGCATCAGCGCTCGGCTCCGACCTCAGTCCTGGCTCTCCTCTGCTTTTCGGCTGTGGATAAATATTGTTTAAACAACTGGCCGGTGGGCGTTTGACCAAAATGTATATTGAGTTGGCTGCTAAATGTTTATAAAAGACATTTCTTCACAGGTTGCAATTTTATAGAAGCTTGAAATCTGCTGTATTAAGGAATGCAGAGGTGATGATAGCCCATGGGTAGGACACAGGCCATGGATGGGACCCGCTGATGAACAAAGAGGTGGCCAGTGGCCACGGCTGGGGACGTTTTGTGGCATGAAGCCCGCCGGAGGGTCCTACATGCCACTGGACTTCACAGAAGATCCAGCTGAGAGGTCTGCTGGCCTGGGGGCTGGAAGGTGTCCCCTCCCTCCAGCCAGTCCCTTGAGCCATTCCCAGAAAGGCCTTAGGGCTGCCAGCCTCCCAGCTGCCGAGGCCCAAATCGAATCAGGGCAAAGCTGGAGGCACCAGACTGCAATCCAGCCCTGGCCTCCCAGCTGCCCCAGACAGCGGCGGCTCCTTCCGGCAAAGGCCCTAATCCGTTTAGGAAGGAACCAGGGATTCCAGGCAGGAGGGACAGAGAGAGAGACAGCAAAGAGGGCTGGGCTGTGGGCCATCCCTGGCTCCTTGTCCCGGTCACCCGGGCTTGTTGGACCCTCTGTCCCGAGCCATAGCCCAGGTGGACGCACCTGGGGAATATGAAGAGAGACAGCCACTCCTTGCAAATGTTCAGGGCCTCAGGTGGAGGGAGAGGCAGATTCCATATGCCTGGAGCAAGAATGCAGCGGGGGAGAAGAGGGGAAGATGAGACCTGGGCCCAGGTCAGCTAGGACCACGTCAGGTGAGCCCTGAAACCCTGAGTTTTTTCATCTGTAAAATGGGAATGGTTCCAAACAGAAAATGAAGGCAGAGGCTGGGTGCGGACGCTTAGGCTTACAGTCCCAGCACCCTGGGAGGCCGACATGGGGGGATTACTTGAGCCAAGGAGCTCGAGGCTGTAGTGAGCTATGATGGTGCCATCGTACTCCAGCCTGGGCGACAGAGCAAGACCCTGTCTCTTAAATAACAAATAAAAATTCTGATAGCAGGGCTGGGGGCGGTGGCTCACGTCTGTAATCCCAGCGCTTTGAGAGGGTGAAACAGGCACATCACTTGAGGTCAGGAGTTCGAGACTGGCCTGGACAACATGGTGAAACCTGGACTCTCCTAAAAATACAAAAACTAGCCGGGCATGGTGGCACGCACCTGTAATCGCAGCTACTTGGGAGGCTGAGGCAGGAGAATCACTGGAACCCAGGAGGCGGATGTTGCAGTGAGCCGAGATGGCGCCACTATATTCCAGCCTGGGCAACAGAGTGACATTCCATTAAAAAGATTTTTAAAAGTAGGCAGGGTACAGTGGCTCACACCTGTAATCCCAGCACTTTGGGAGGCCAACGCAGGTGGATCATGAGGTCAGGAGGTCGAGACCAGCATGGCCAGTATGGTGAAACCCCATCTCTACTGAAAATACAAAAAATTAGCCAGCCATGGTGGTGTGCACCTGTAGTCCCAGCTACTTGGGAGGCCGAGGCAGGAGAATTGCTTGAACCCGGCAGGCAGAGGTTACAGTGTGCTGAGACTGTGCCACTGCACTCCAGCCTGAGTGACGAGAGTGAGACTCCATCTCAAAAAAAAAAGAAGTAAAAATTCTGATGGCAGCATTGGCCCACATGAGCTATGGTCCTCCTCCAGTGTCATCTGTTTTAGAGACGAGAAAGGCACTTGCCCCAGGCCCAGCCAGTGCACAGCAGGGAAGAAGGCTGTTGTCTCCAGACAAGTCCTTGCTGTCACCACGCAGCAGGAGGACTGTGCTTCCGACATTCACAGCGACGCAGGGGACAGACCAGCTGCTCACATGCATTGCTGACACACAGCCGACCGGGCCCAGCTCAACCTTCCTGGGTTTAGACAGAAAGTTCTGTCTCTTGGAAAATCCCTTAGTCCCAGGCCACTTAGGATGGCTGGTCACCCCGCAACGCAGCGAGCGACAGGAACAGGAGGCCAGACGCCTCTCTAAGCAGCCAAAAAACACAGACACTTACGAGGAAGAGAAATGTCCCAAATGTACATCCTTTGGGTTCAAAAAGTCAATTTCCCTTAAAAAGGTGAGAGACACATCTGTTCACTGCAGCACGATTCGAGGTAGCAAAGACATGGGATCAGCCCAGGTGCCCGTCAACAGTAGGACAGATGAAGAAAGTGTGGCGCATGCACGCTGTGGAATACCATGCAGCCATGAAAAAGAGCAAGACCATGTCCTCTGCAGCAACACGGATGTGGCTGGAGGCCATTATCCTAAGCAAATTAACACAGGAACAGAAAAACGAATTCCGCATGTTCTCACCTGTAAGAGGGAGTTAAACGTTGGGTACTCAAGGACATAAAGATGGGAATGACTGACACCAAGGTCTCCAAAGGCAGGGAGAGAGGGAAAAGGGGGGGCTCCAAAGATACTTATTGGCTGCTATGCTCACTACCTGGGTGACAAGATCAACTGTACCCGAAACCTCAGCATCATGCAATATACCTTTGTAATAAAGTCGCACATGTACCCCAAATCTCAACTTAGAAGTTAAAATTATTATTTTTGAGACAGAGTCTCACTGTCGCCCAGACGGGAGTGCAGTGGTGTGATCACGGCTCACTGCAGCTTCCGCCTCCAGAATTCAAGCAATTGTTCTGTCTCAGCCTCCCAGGGAGCTGAGCCTACAGGTGCCCACCACCACGTCTGGCTAATGTTTGTATTTTTAGTAGAGACAGGGTTTCCCCGTTTGGCCAGGCTGGTCTCAAACTCCTGACCTCAAATGATCCCCCTGCCACGGCCTCCCAAAGTGCTGGGATGACAGGTGTGAGTCACCACGCCCAGCCTAAAAGTTGAAATTATTAAAACAATAATAATGCAAGAGACTTGAAGCCCCCAAAAGGCAGAGCTGGGATGGGTGGAGGGTTGTTTGCTGGGAAGATCCCAGGTTCCAGTCCATGAGCTGCGGAAAAGTTGTTGTCACACCTGTCCCTTCCAGCTCCAGAGTTTGCTCCGCCCACCTGTGAGGCCAGGACTGCAGGTAGCTCAGCTGCTGCTAACACCCGCTTTTCAACTCCCAGGCTCCTGGGCCCCACCCATGAGAGGTGATTGGTCCCTGGGCAGTGGGGCCCAGGGTTTGGTTTTGTTTTTTTGTTTTTGTTTTTTTTGAGATGGAGTCTTACTCTGTCATCCAGGCTGGAGTGCAGTGGCACAATCTCGGCTCACTACAACCTCCGCCTCCCGGGTTCAACTGATTCTCCTGCCTCAGCGTCCCGAGTAGCTGGGATTACAGGCGCGCACCACCACACCCTGCTAATTTTATATTTTTAGTAGAGATGGGGTTTCTCCATGTTGGTCAGGCTGGTCTCGAACTCCTGACCTCAGGTGATCTGCTTCAGCCTCCCAGAGGGCTGGGATTATAGGCGTGAGCCACTGCACCTGGCCTGGACACTGTATTTTTAAGTTCACAGGGGAATCTTACACCCAGCCAGGTGCAGGGCCTAGGGCATCTCCAGGGATGTTCCCTACTCAAGGTTCCAAGAAGCTCAGCCTCCCTGCCTGCCTGCCACCTGCCCCGTGTCTTGCCCAGACAGCAGCAGATTTGCCGGCTGCAAAGAGCTGGAAGCTAGCCCGGACCCTGAGCCAAAGATTAGCCAAGCGCTGTGGCCTCGTCTGAGTTGGTGCTGTCCTGACCCAAGGCAGGGTAGCCTCCAGGCTGGGGGACTCCACAGGAGTCTGGCCCAGAGAGCCCACTTTCCAGACAGTCCTGGGGCCAGGGTGACAGTGAACCATCAGAAATCCAGCTGCCCTTTCCAATCCCAAACACCCTGCACCCGGCGCTCAGGGCCGGCTAGGAGGCAGCAAAGAGTGAGCTAACAGGTGTGAGCCTGCTCTGATGCCCACAGCCTGGATGTCTGGGGAAATACGTGTTCCCGCTGGCTGGTTCTGACCCATCTACCCCAGTGAAGAGCAGCCTAGTGGGAGATGGGAAAAGGGAATGCGGGAGTTGGAGGTTGCAGTGAGTTGACATCGCGCCACTGCATTCTAGCCTGGGTGACAGAGCGAGACTTGGTCTTAAAAATAAAAAAGAGGCCGGGCGCAGTGGCTCACGCCTGTAATCCCAGCACTTTGGGAGGTCGAGGCGGGTGGATCACGAGGTCAAGAGATCGAGACCATCCTGGTCAACAAGGTGAAACCCCGTCTCTACTAAAAATACAAAAAAAAATAGCTGGGCATGGTGGCGCGTGCCTGTAATCCCAGCTACTCGGGAGGCTGAGGCAGGAGAATTGCCTGAACCCAGGAGGCGGAGGCTGCGGTGAGCCAAGATCGCGCCATTGCACTCCAGCCTGGGTAACAAGAGCGAAACTCCGTCCCACCAACAATAAAAAAAGATGTACAGATGGCCAAAAAGCACATGAAAAAATCCCCACGCCAGTAAAGATTAGCAAAATGCAAATCTAAACTACACCTCACACCCACCAGGATACCTGCTATAGAAAACACAGGAAGGCCGGGTGCGGTGGCTCACGCCTGTAATCCCAACACTTTGGGAGGCAGAGGCGGGTGGATCATGAGGTCAGGAGTTTGAGACCAGCCTGGCCAATATGGCAAAACTCCATCTCTACTAAAAATACAAAAATTAGCTGGGCGTGGTGGTGGGCGCCTGTAGTCCCAGCTACTCCAGAGGCTGAGGCAGAAGAATCACTTGAACCCAGGAGGCAGAGATTGCAGTGAGCTGAGATCTTGCCACTGCACTCCAGCCTGGGTGACAGAGGAAGACTCCATCTCAAAAAGAAAAAAAAATCCTGGGTTCAAGCCATCTTCCCATCTCAGCCTTCCAAGCAGCTGGGACTACAGGCGTGCGCCACCATGCCTGGCTAATTTTAAATGTTTTGTAGAGATGGGGTCTTGCTATGTTGCCCAGGCTGGTCTTGAATGCGTGGCCTCGAACGACCCTCCCAGCTCAGCCTCCCAACGTGCTGGGATTATAGGCATAAGCCACCATGTCCAGCCTCAATACAATTTTTCAAAATGGAAAAAGAAAAAACAACTAAGAGAGGAAGTGTTTGTTCTCATTGTCCGCAGTGGAATGTCATTCCTAAGACTAGAGAGGACACTCAGCGGAATGGGGGCAGAGAGAGGAAGGGGGCACCTGACAAGCACATCTCTGCCCCAGAAGTGAGTGTGAGCACTAGCAACTCAACACATGCATGCCCACCCCCATACTCCCCCCCACGCACACACCCACATACCCACACACAGGCACACTCCCCCACATACTCCCCCCACATGCACACCCACACACCCGCACACATGCACACCCACATGCTCCCCCCCAGGCACACACACACATACCCACACACATGTACACTCCCCCATATTCCCCCCACATGCACACACACCCATACACATGCACACACACCCATACACATGCACACACATGTACAGACACCCACACACGCTTACATATATGCATTCATGTACTCACACACATACACACTCACATGTATACACACATGCATGCACACCCCCACATACCCACACACCCATGTACACACCCCAAACTCCCCCACGTGCACACCCACCCATATGCACTCATGTGCACACACATGCATGCACACACCCCCCACATGCATACCCACACTTACACACACATACCCACACATTCACATGCATATACACATGCACACTCACACATGCTCACATGCAAGTCCACATACATGCACACACACGTCCCCGCACACATGCACACACACACACATGCACACACACGTGCTAGTGCAAGTCCTCCTGGGTCCAGTCCCAGCAGTCTGAATGCAGTGAAACCCTTCACAGAGAAGGTGGCTGGGGCATGATCTCACCCTCATGGTCCTGTCAGGAGTCACGCCACAGAGCAAGCTGAGCCCGTCTGACCTCCAGAGCCCCACACTCCAGCCTGCAGGCCTTGCACGGTCACTCAGCCTTCGCACCTGCTGTGCCCTTTTTGAGAGGTGCCCTTCCCCACTGCTGGCTCCCTCTTAGCTGCTTCGGGCTCGTCCTCACCTCCCGTTGTGCCCCTTGGCTGGGCTCCCTCACCTCCACCTTCCCTCCCCCTCCAGGATGTGGAGGTGTCAGAGCCCCCTGCACTGCCTCCCGGAGAGCGGCGCTCATTGCTTTCACCTGCGTGTGCCCGGGCCTGCTGCACAGAAGGAGGCCTGGAAAGGCTCCGAAGAGCGAAGCCGTTGATGCGGGTTTGGAAGAATCAAGAGACATGAAGAAGGTGGGTGGCGAAGGATGGGGCAGCCCAGACAGAGGGGACAGCTCTGGCAAAGGCACTAAGGTGCAAGTGAGCCTGATGGGGCGTCCGTGTGGGGCTGGCGGGCAGTGGAGTAAAACACCAAAGTGCTCTTGGCACGGACTGCGGTCGGATCCTGGGGGATGTCCAGTGGGAAATGCTCTGAGACTTTCCTAACCTCAGCTCAGAGTCTGGGCCTGGGCTTCGGAGGGCCCTGTCCCTCTCTTCCTGAAGGGGACACATCCACCGAGAGCCTGCCACCCATTCTCCCACCCCAGACACTGGGTACTGAGGCCCCTGGAAGCCATCTGGCTGAAGCACCCCCGTTCTGGGGCCCCAGGGGCCTCTTCTCTGGCCATCCTCCTGCAGTGCTTTCAAATCTGACAATACATTCTCAGGCAAGGGGCGGCGGCTCATGCCTGTAATCCAGCACTTTGGGATTGCTTGAGGCCAGGAGTTTGAGACCAGACTGAGCAACATAGTGAGACCTCCATTTCGACAAAAAAATTTAAAATTTAGGCAGGCATGGTGGTGCATACCTGTAGTCCCAGATACTCAGGAGGCTGAGGCACGAGGACCACTTGGGCCCAGGAAGTGGAGGCTACAGTGAGCTGTGATCACATCACTGGGCTCCAGCCTGGGTGACAGAGACCGTGCCTCTAAATTTAAAAATACGTTATTTCTTTTGAAACAGAGTCTTGCTCTGTCACCCAGGCTGGAGTGCAGTGGCATGATTTCAGCTCACTGCAACCTCTGCTTCCCAGGTTCAAGCGACTCTCCTGCCTCAGCCTCCTAGTAGCTGTGACTACAGGCATGTGTCACCACACCTGGCTAATATTTTGTATTTTTAGTAGAGACCGGGTTTCACCGTATTACCCAGGATGGTCTCAATCTCCTAACCTCACGATTCACCTAACTTGGCCTCCCAAAGCGCTGGGATTACATGCGTGAGCTACCGTGCCCGGCCTCTTTTAGTTTTTTTTTTTAATAGAAATGGGGTCTCCCTATGCTGCCCAGGCTGGTCTCGAACTCCTGAGCTCAAGGGTTCTTCACCCCTCAGCCTCCCAAAGTGAAATAAATAAATAAGTTCTGTAATACTTCTCCCAGCAAATACTGTCATCTAATTCTCTCCTCTTGAACATGATTTGAATAAGGACCCACTTTGAACCAACAGCGTGTGTGGGCAATGCCACCAGGGGACCTCTGCAGCCTGGTCCCCAAAGGCGTTAAACTTCCCCCACCCGCTCGCTCACTCACTCTCAGACCCTTGCCCCTGGACTCTAAGCTGACACGTGGGAAGCTCAGGTATCGCGTGCTGCCGTGGTGGAGAGGCCAAGGGGCATCAGAGGTGCCCGAGGAGCCCCCGCTGTTCCTTGGCTCAGGCCCTGGGCCAGCAAGTGAAATGTCTTCAAAACGACCTCAAGCCCCACTTCCTCTTTATTGAGAGACGAGATCTCGCTCTACTGCCCAGGCCGGAGTGCTGTGGTGCGATCACAGCTCGCTGCAGCCTCCAGCTCCTGCTGGCAACCTTTTGGTTGCAACTGTAGGAGAGATTGAGTGAGACCCACCTAGAAAGCCCAGACAACTCTCAAACCGTGAAGAGTAAAAGACACGACCGCTGTTTGACACGGCTAAGTTTGAGCTACTATCAGTCTATCCAGTCCAAGATAAATAACGGAGACACCCTGAGGGCACACGAGGCTGATGCCACTGTACCCTCCAAGGCGGGGCAGCTGTTTGGGACGGTGGACGTGGCTTGAGCTCAGGAGTTCGAGACCAGCCTGGGCAATATGGCAAGACCCCATCTCTACAAAAAACTTAAAAGATTAGCTGGGTGTGGTGGCGCATGCCTGTAGTCCCAGCTACTCGGGAGGCTGAGATGGGAGGATCCCCTGAGCCAAGATCACGCCACTGCACTGCAGCCTAGATATACAGCTTAGGGAGTCCACATCAATGAGAACAAAGTCCCTCGATGTGGGACAGAGGCGAGGTGGGTCAGCTGGGACCTTCTGTTTGTCTCCTTTAGCTGGCTGGC